ATAGACCAGTTAGTCTGGCATCAATCCCCAGAAAAATTCTAGAGCAAATTATAACACAAACAGTCTGCAAACACCTTGAAGACAATGCAGTAATTGCCAGAAGCCAACATGGACAAATCCTGCCAGACTAATCTGATTTCATTTTTTGACGGGCAACCTCTCAAATGGGCTGTGGGAATGCTGTGGACATGATCTCTCTAGACTTTAGCAGAGCCTTTGAGAAAGTGCCACACAACATCCTGATTACCAAACCAGCAAAAGGCGGGCTAGATAGAGCAACCATTAGGTAGATCCACAATTGGCCACAAAACCAGACTCAAAAAGTACTCATCAATGGCACATTCTCAAACTGGGGATGGCTGCTGCAGGGTACTGCAGAGTTCTTTCGTGGGACCAGTAGTCTTTCAAAGTCTTTCAAAACTCAAAAATGTACCCTAAATTTTATATTATTTACGGCTTTTTATGTAAGCCGTCCCGAGGCTATGCGATGGCACAGCATACAAAAATTCTAAATAATAATAAATAATAATAATGTTTCTCTTAATGCTTTAGATGAGGAAGTACAAGGAAAGATAATTAAATTTGCAGATGACACAAAGCTGGGTGGAATAGGAATTATTCTGGAAGACAGAGATAAGATACAGGGTGATCTTGATAGGTTAGAATGCTGGGCAGCAACAGAATGGAATTCAGTAGGGACAAATGCCTCCACTATTAATCCAAATGCACCACTACAAAAGATCATGGGGAACACTTGACTCAACAGCACTGCATATAAGAAGGTTCATTTTCAAGTAAGCTAAATTGACCCTTTTGGTGTTCCATAGCAGCTACAGTGTGATCCAATAGACATTGCTTACTTGGACTTCCAAAAGGCTTCTCACCAAGTCACTCACAAAGACTCCTTAGCAAACTTAGCAGCCATGGAATAAGAAGTGGGGGTTCTGTTACAGATCAATAATTAAAGAATAGAAATCAGAAAATGGAAGAAATGGTAATTGTCCCAACAGAGTGATGTAAACAGTGGAGTCCCATTAGTATGGGGCCAATGCTTTCCATTTATGACCAATGCTTAGTCATAAATGAACGGAAATTAGGAGTGAAGTGGCCTAGTTTGTTGGTGACACCAAATGGTTTAGGGTGGTTAAAACAAAAAGGGATTGTGAAGAGTTCCAGAAGGATCTGCACAAACTGGAGAATAGGCATCAGCATGGAAAATGTGGTCCAGTGTATGTAAGTGCAAAGTGATGCATGTTGGAGCAAAATATCTCAACTTCACGCAGAAGCTATTTATTTATTTAAAGCATTTTTATGCCGCTCCCTTTGCAAAAAGCCTTGGGGTGGCTTACAAAGCAAATAAACAAATATTGAATAAAGTTTTAAAATCCGGATACATCTCGGCAGAGCTATAAAAACCCAATAAATAAAAACAACAATTAACAGTTAAAATATTGTTTAAATAAAAAGTTCTTGGCCTGGCACCGAAAAACAAATAACAATGGCGCCAGGCGGACCTCTCTGGGGAGCGCATTCCATAGGTGGGGCGCCACCGCAGAGAAGGACCTGCTCCGGGTACTCACCCTCCTGATGTCCTTCATGGAGGGCTCCCGGAGAAGGGCCTCTGCCGCCGATCTCAAGGGGAGGGAGGGCACGTATGGACGCAAGTGCTCCTTTAGATAACCAGGTCCCAAGCCGTTAAGGGCTTTATAGGTGATAACCAATAGGATCTGAGCTAGCGTTGACTGACCAGGAAAGCAATTTTGGGCTTGTGGTGGACAGCTTATGAAAATGCTAACCCAATGTGCAACTGCTTGAAAAAAAGTAACTTCACCTAAGGCAAAATTAGGAAAGGAACTGAAAAGGAGTCTGTCAATATCATACTGTCCCTATACAAATCTATGGTATGACCACACTTAGAATACTGTGCATACCTAAAGAAAGGACATTGTAGAGTTGAGGAAAAAGAGCAACTAAAATGATCAAGGGACTTTATGAGGAAAATTTAAATATCTGGGTCAACTTTGTTTAGAGAAAGGGCAAGTAATGGGAGGCATGATAGAGGTGCTCAGAAATTATGCACAGTGTGGAGAAAGTAGAGAGGAAGATAGCTTACTTGCTCTCCCATAATACTAGAAATTGGGGTCATCCCATGAATCTGATTGGCAGAAGATTCAGGGTAGATAAAAAGGAAAGATTTTATCACCAAGCACCTAATTAAAACACTGAAATCCGTTTCCACAAGAGGTAGCAATTTGGAGGGCTTTTAAAGGGATTGAAATCCCTTGGTGGAAAAAGCTAAAAAAGCTAAATCCATGGTAGAAAAAGCTAAAAATGGCTACAGCTCCTGATGGATCTATGTAGCAGAGGCAGTATGCTCATGTGGACCATTTGCTGGGGAATATGTCCTGCTTATGGGTTCCCTCGGACTGCCAGTTGGCCATTGTGAGAAGAGGATGTTGGACTAGATCAACCCTTGGTTTGATCCACCATGGTTTTTCTTATGTGAGCCGCCCCGAGGCTTCGGTGAATGGGGCGGCATAGAAGTCTTCTAAATAAATAAATAAAAATAAATAAAATGTACTTAACTCAAAATATCACTTCTTACAACACTTTCTATGAGCAATACTCTTAAACAGGGAAACACATCAGGATTTGCATCCACCAGTCAAACTAAAATCCTATTCATTTTGATGTTTCTGCTCTAAGTTGGGCTCACATTAACTACATTCTGAGTTGTGGACTCCAAGATTTTATATGAAAATTTGATAAAATTTAGCACTATATTGCTCTTATTTAAAAGAACTTGGAAGGGCCTTTGCCAAGTTACAGAAGAATAAGTCTCTTTGTCTTGAGAAAGACTGAAGCAGTCTCCCCTGAGTGGGAATATTCACTAGGACAAATGGTCAGGACACCCTGCCTTAGAATCCCAGGGTTCTCAGCAGTACTCACTGTTCAGAGAGGCTCAGTTCCCACAGCTTTCTGCATGCTGGCCTGCAGCAAGCTTGTGCTTGCAATCAGCCTGTGGAACCTCTTTTGTGAGTTGGAACATCTACCTGCAGGAGGAACAACCCTGGCCCCCTGACACTAAGCCCCTGTCTGTTCCACTAAATGAAGAAACATGACAAGCTTTTTACTCAAAGGGCTCTTCAGGAAGTGACATTGATTATTCCAAGTTAATGCTTCTCCAATTTGTAACAGGAAAATGGGGAAAGGGAATATGGCAAGAGATGGTATCCGGCACCGAAGGAGAGAAATCCATTTGCTCGTGAAGTTCTTTTTTCTTCTTGCATCACTTCTTCGAGTAAGACCTCCCCAAACAAAATTGTAATCCACCAACTTGTGCTAGTTTTCAGTTTGAGGTCTAAGTAGACAGTAAGGATAGATGAGAATGTCATTCATTTTTTTACAAGAACTTACCAAACTGTGCACACCTTTTTATAAACAGGGCAGAAATTTGAGATTTAAAAAAATGTGGATGTGGGAAAATCAAAACTGACCATTTCAACTTTTCCAGTAAAGGGCTGTTAGGGCTCCATTTTGGTCCCGGTGTATTTGCCCATTTTTGTAGTGCTGACTTGAGGTAGCCACTTCCTTTTCCTGACAGGCTCCCAATTTTTGACATTTGCATCACAGGTGAATACAACACTCCACACAGGGAATTGCTCGCCTACAGAACTGACTAATGTAAATGGGTGGGAATTTAGTTTAGCTTGTTTCTGATAATCGGTGCTCACGCATCATTACTGCATAGATTCACACCAGGCAGGTGATAGCTAGCTCTGGAAGAAGCAACTTCTGACAACCCTTTGTTGCCACAAGGAATTCAGGGTTGGTGTGCATGATAGCAGCTGCCACAGGAAGGCTACCCAAAGCAACTGGACTTTACCACAAGGCTGACAGTCTCTGGGTAGAAAGCCTGCACCAGCAGCTGCCAGGAGGTGACGTCCTGCCCTGATAAAGCTAAACCCATGGACAGGTCAGCAACCCTGTGACCAGTCCAGGGCAGAAGGAGAAACCGGCAGGAAATGAACAGGCAAAGCTCCATTAAGTTTGGAATTCCTAAAAACGAGAGGTTGCTGCGTATTTCAGAACCATGGACAGAGCTCGGACAGTGGATGACTCTTCCAAGATGAAAGCTAATTCAGCGGTGCCCAGAACCCACCTACTTTTCTCAGCAGGGGAGGAGATGCCTAGCATGTCAGTGGACCTCCTTATCCATTGCAGCTTTTACTTTGTGTTTTGTGGGAGCGATCCATGATATTGAATTCCATCCTCAAAATTATTCACCACCATGGGGCACAATACCTTTCACCTTTGAGTCACCCCTTCTTAGTTCCTAGCAGTGGCAGGTAGAATGTTGAATGTTAAAAATAATTTTACATCATATGTACAAGGCAGCATTTTTCTTGCTCAGTGCTGCATTTTTCATTTGTGAAGCTTTTATTAAGATTTGTTCCAGGGTAAGACCCACTTGTTTTTTTTAACCAGTATTGCAGGCTGTGTATATTACATTAGCCCAACTGGGTGCCCTCCAGATTAGTACCCATCATCCCCAGCCAGATTTTTCTTAAATGGAGCTCCATGAACACACAGAGCTGATATATGTGAAGCACAAAGACCACAAAAACATTTACAGGTTTGAGTGTGCTGGCTCCTGACTTGCATGCTAAGCATTCTGTTGGCCATTAACTTACTAAATAGCCTTTTTGTGAGGACAGCAGAGAAATAATCTGAATTAACACCCAGAACATAGATTACTGTTTCATAGCCAGATGGAAAGCTTTGCATCAGAACAGCCATGCAGACAGTGTGTGACCAAAATCTAGGATACTGATTATGCTAATTCTTGTGCTGACCGCTGCTAGTACACACCAGCTACTTGGTGAGACAACTACCTGCGTTATGTCTCATTGACAAAAAGATATTCCAGCCTGCTCAGATATACCCCTACAGCTGCTTTAAGTGGGATGGAGAGAGCTGCTTGCAGAAATAAGTCCATGTCACAGGTAACAGGAAACCTTTATTTAACATACAAAGCAAGCTGTTATCTAAAAGGTTATGCTTCAGAAATAAAATTCCAGAATCACATCACTGTATATATTGCTTGCCCCAAAAGCAACTGGCAAAGGCCCCAAGAGTCCAAGGCCTGCTGGAAAAGTTTGATTCCCAAGTGACTTTTGTGTAAAGGTAGGAAGAGACCTTGCACTGTTAAACGCCTATGAAAGGGAAGTGCCTACAGCAACCTTCCCCAACTCAATGCCCTCTGGCTGTTTGTACTACAAACCCATCATCCTCAGCTAGCATGCCCAAAGGCAGTGTTGGCTGAGAGTAGCAAGATTTAATAGTCTAACACATCTTGAAGGCACCTGGCTAGGGAAAACTGGCAGACCAAACTGGCACAAGGAAGCCCAGTCATTCAACAAGTGTTGAACAGTTGCCACTTGGTAAACTTTTACATGAGTTATTCAAACAAGCAGCTCCACTAATTTCACAGGTCCTTCCATAGAGCCTGGTTTCCAGCAAAGAGTTACATTTATTTCTGTGGTTCACTTCTCCAGTGCACTGAATGAATGAATCCACCTCACACAGAAAGGAGGCTGTGTGGAGGCTGGCCTGGTCTTGCCCCTAGCCTTGCTAATCTTCTGTCATGGAAGGGTGCTGTTTTTCTATGGGGACGCATTCAATCCGGTCAGCCTCCAACTGCAGTTCGAACACATGTTTACCACCTCCTTGAGAAGCTGACCTCTGTGAGAAGGTATAATCCAAGCACTCTGAAATCAGAAGAGCTGCCTGACAGTTTCCTATCTCCAGCACCGATATGACTATTGAGGCACTGCATATAAACTAAACATTAGTGCACAAATTCTTGCAAGAAAGAGTTTTGGTAAAGAAGGGCATTTTGGCACCCTGACCCAATTTCAGAAATGAAGGTATTTTTTTTTTTTTTACATTTTGCTGAAAAGCCAGGTCACACACACACACACAAAATCTTGTCCTCCACTGTTAAAAAGGTATCAAGTTCATGAATTTTTGCAGTAAAAAGTTGCAGACGGGTTGTCTCTCTGAGGCAGGATGCTACTATTTATAAAATGCTTGGCAATTTTGCATATGCAGAACAGTGGGGCTAGGACTGGCAGCATAGCTGAATAGATCTACACTGAGCTTGTCAGAGCCCGCAGAACAATTTTGTGCATCCAGTCTTCATGCTCTAGAGAACAGCTTTCCTCAACCTGGATGGGGTGGACAAGAACATTCCATGTGCTATTACAGGACTAAGACTACCTTAATCCATTTCTTACACTTCTAAGTTAGTGACAAAGTGTCAAAACAAGGATACAGGTTGTCACAATGGGACGCAACCTATGCTTCTAGGTAGGTTTCTGACCCCTAGATCTGCAATGCCAGGCTGTATCTTTGAGTTCAAGGGACATGAAGGAGAACTTCTGAGACTATTCCCCCCATATGTGAGTAACCATATCACATGATAGCTGCCCTGTGCGCCATACTTTTTCTTGAGTATTGATTAGTCCATATGGGTTTGTTCACATGCCTTTGGCACATAAGGTTTGAGGCAACAAAACGCACCATATAATGTAGGCCAACCTAAAATTCAGTATATAGAAGACCACATGGATCATTCAGAAGCCACTGTGCAGCAGTTAAGACAAGACAGCCTAAGCTTCAGCACTCTCCCAGATCTCTTGCTGATTGCTCTGGGCAAGCCTACTCTACCCTAGTGTGGGCCTGACTTAAAATAGATTAGATGTCCTGCAGTTAGACTAAGTCAGAGGGGAAAGGACAAAAAGCAAAACCCAAAATTAAGAATCTAGGAAGAGCCCTGCCAGATCAGAACAAAGGTCCATTCACTTCTTTCCCAGTGGTCAACCAGATGCCTCTGGGAAACCTACAAGCAAGATATGAAAACAACAGTTCTCTTGTTGCTTACATAGCACCTGGAATTCAGTAGCCTGCTGCCCCTGCAGGTGGAGATACCTATACAGCCGTCATGGTTATGAACCCCAAAGAGATTCTTCACCCCAGTTCTCTTTTAAATACATATGAAGTACTGGCCATCACAACTTTCAACAGCAAACTTGATAACCAATACACTGTATCAAGAAGCACTCCCTTTTCTAAATCCTGAATTTCCAGCCACTCTTTTCCATTGGGTGACCCCAGGTTCTAGGTGAGAGGAAGAAAAACTTCTCTCCATCCATTTTCTTCATAGCATGCCTAGTTTTGTATACTTCTATCATGAAATAAACCTTCGCACACATTCAGAGTTTTAATCAAGCAAGAGATATCAGTGAGCATTATCAGGTCTTCACATGCATAGCTTGTGCAGATGCATTTCTGGATGTGTATCCCCATCCACAATATTTATCAAGGCCCCGATGTTATGGCTGGGTGTATCTTTTGATATGGATGGGGGTCACTAGTCATCACGCACTACTATTTGCCCACAAGTGCATCTGGACCAAGGCCCTAGAACAGACATTAAATTGATTTAAGGATGTTTTTAACACAATAGGATCAACTACACTTAGCTGATACAGGATTTTTGAGGTGGTCACAATAGTTGTTATAAAAATTAAAATAAAAAACACTGAAGCACATATAGGTCAATCCTTGAAACCATAGAGCATTGAAGAACATGGCATCTGAGTGCAGCCATAGTGTAATACATAAAATCTAAACTTCACATAACTTTTTCAGCACTTATATGCAGAGCCCTGTGGGTTCCACAAATGTATGAGCATTTTTTTTTTTTTTGAAGAATCTGGAAGGTGCTGCAGGGTTATCAAGATCCTGTTCACACCTCGACAATTACTTCCATTCTGCTATGAACTCCACCATTACTAATAACTTTTTTTAAAAAAACATATCCATAATCCACACTGTAGTAAGAATTATGCAAATTTGAATAATTTGTTACTCATACTATGTATTCCAGGCAGAAAATTATGATTCTCCTGCTGAAAAAATATGCATTTCTTTAAAAATTTTTAAATTTATTCTATGTGGAATTAACAGAGCTCTGCTTACATGGTTCACATGCTAAACTAGTATCCCACTTTGAGTATCTGACCTGTTAAATATAGTAGTGGCTATGCATATAAACAAACTAAACACAAAAATAAAAGTAAAAAGCAAAGGGATTACAATTTCAGACACATTGGAATTAATCTCAGCAATGCAAAGTCACAAATGAGCAAGTTTGGGTTTTTTCCTTGAAACAATTAGGCACAGGTTTTTCTTATATTTCACAGACATTACATGGGGAAATAAGTTGAAAGCTTAATACAAATGAGGAGCTAGTGAAACTAACTCAGCATCACCTCATCTAACTTAATTCTTGGAAGTATTTCTTATAAACCCAAACCTGTGTTCTAACCAAGTCCCAACTCTATCTCCGAAATAAACTGGAGATAAAGAGTAATCTGGAGCACAAGCTAATCCCCATTGTGCAGTGCAGGGATGTTTGATGTAGCACCACCTTCTCCAAGCAGGCACCTCCCAGATGTGTTGGACTGCAACTTCTGTAATTCCCAGCTAGCATGAGCATGACCAGGTTGGGGAGAACTAATATAGTACACATGGTGGCTCCCATTCATTTCCATAGAAGTTTACACTGAAAACAATAAAATGCCTCACCCGGAAGCAACACTGTTATGATGGTGACTCTCTCCAATGTCTCTCAAATTTTCAACAAACATTCAAATAAACCCTTGACCTGAGCATCTTTCATACAAGAAAGGGACTTTCCCCTCTCAGGCAGCGTCAGAAAAACGCACGGACTCTGTTAACGAAGCTCTGGACCTGGGATACATGATTCATCAGATATAGGGAAGGCATTGATATAGCCATATTAGTAAGGCATTTCTAAACTGCTCTACATTATCTAATAAACCCATAACATCACATGTGACAAAATCCAGCAACACAATTGGTGGCAGTTCCCAGGCCTACAATTTAAATATTTCTGTATACAGTTAATACATTTTCTTGGGCCCCCCATACACTGTTCATTTCATGAGTTAAGGCAAGGAAATAAAATCATTATAAAAGCAAATGACACCTCTTAATTCTTTGTCTAAATATTAGCAACATCAATTTACTCCAAATGATGGGATTCCATTTGCACAGAAGCAAGTCTGTGGATATATTCATTCTGGCCTCGCATCTTAAGTGCCACACAGCCAATGGGATCCAATCAGATATATTAGTTGACTCTGGATACACACACAGCAACATCTTGTGAAAGTGAAATCCATGGGTTTCACACAGGTAATTTAAAATGAGCATAAAAAGACATTTTGTATTACAAACAGTACTAGAGGAAAACCTATAGGGTCATAGTTGTCAAGACTCCACAAAACTGATACTGGTACCAAGAAATCTGGATTATTTTGCAACCTGCTACATATACCAAAAATGGTTAGCAAGTAGTTGTAGAAAAAAGTACCACTGCTTACATGCAAACACGTGTAGCCTCTCTCTCATATTTTCTTTTAAATGAAGAAAGAAAATGCTGATGTCAGTATGCTCTTCTCAGTTCATACCGCCAAGAAGGTATGAGTTGCCAACAGTCCAGCTTGAAGACAAAATGTGGGGTCCTCCCACTGGAGACTCATCCTGTTGGGCCCTATGTTGATGTATGGTGGCAGGGCTCAGGAGTGGTCAGAAGGATGGCCAAGGGTCACTGGTAAGTCATTTTTCATTTTGACTTCTTCAGCAGGACAGGGAGCCGATAGAAAAATAATAAAGATGATACCTGCCTTCAGCGGCAAAGATGTAGAGCAGATATCCATGCCTAAGCTGTTGTTTTCAGGAAGGAGGTCTGAGGAACTAAACCAAATGTCAAGTGATGATGTTCTTGATCTTAGGACAAAGTGAAAGCAAACACTTCACTAGATCCAGATATTATCCAAGAGTTTTAAAGAACTTAAATGCAAAATTGTTGACCATCTTACAAAAATATGTAACATGTCCTTCAGATCCACCTCTGCACCAGAGGACTGGAGAGTAGCTTATGTGATTGCAGGTATCAGTCTGTTTAGCTTAGCATCTGTTCTAGGCAACTTGGTGGAAAGCTTTTTAAAAGATCCAGTTATCAAGATTCTAAAAGAACAAGTTCTGCCTGAAAAGAACAGTTTCTGTAAAGCTGAGTCCTATCTCACTAACCTTATAGAGGTCTCCAGTATATCAATAAATATGCAGATAGGGTTATCCAGTAAACACTGGTTACCCAGACATCCAAAACTTTCTTGACCAGATCCCTTAGTCCAAGCAAGCTGGGCAGTCATGGCATAAGAGGAAAGATTCTCTTATGGACAGAAAGTAGGAATGGTCAAGTTCTCACAATGGAAGGATGTGAATAGCAGGGCTCCACAATGATCTGAATTGGAACAGTTTAACTTGTTGATAAATGATCTGGAGTGGCTGAACAGTGAGATGACCAGATATGCTGTTGATGTCAAATTATTTAGGGTGGTTAAAATAAAAAGGTTGTGAATTGTTACAAAAGTACCTCCCAAAATGGGCAGTATGTAGAATAAAATGGCAAATACTGTTCCATGTAAGTGTAAAGTCCTGCACATTGAGGCAAAAGGTCCTAATATCACACATATGGTGATAGAACTTAAATGTGTCTAACCAAGAAAGAAATCTTGGAAGTTGTGGCAAACAGCTCAACATAAATGTCGAGACAATATGCAGCAGCTGTGTGGCCAATTCCATATTGGAGATCATTAGGAAAGAAATAAAAATACAATACTTATGCTTTTATCTTTCACAGCCAACAGCAGTGACATTCAAGCAAATTCTGGCAGCCACTGGCTGCCATAGAAGAAAGCTATGGTAAAACACTTCTGAATATTCTTACCTTGAAAGCCTATGAGGAAACAATCCAAAATGAAGTAAGAGATAGTGCCAGAAGATGAGGTTCCCAGGCCAGAAGTCACTCAACCAACTACTGCAGCAGAGCAAAGGACAAAAACAAATAGTGCTGTCACTGACACAACTAGATCAAAGCCAAAAGGAACTCTAGTTGCTGACATGCCCACAAGCAAATGGAAATCCCAGTGCTGCACAACATATACAAATGGAACCTGGAAAGTGAGAAATCCTATCAAGGCAAACTGGAAACTGTAAAAGCATGAAATACTATGGTTAAACTGCAGTATTTGGCATGAGAGAACTAAAGTGGACTAGACTGGAACATTTTAAGTCAGACGAACACAAAGTGACAAACTCAGATGAACTGGAATGGCTCTAATTCTGAGGGAAGACTTAGCACAGGCAGTAAGGGGCTATAATGCAAATTCTGACCAAATCATATCAGTCAGAATTCTTGGAAAATGTGTCAGCATAACCATCATCCAAGTCTATGCTCCAATATCGGATGCTGAATTAGAAACTGATAACTTCTATGCAATTTTCCAAGATGAAATTGATGACACCAAAACAAGACATGCTGATAATCATAGGTGACTGGAATGCAAGAGTAGGAAAAAAAGCAGAAACCAATGTTGTTGGAGAATTTGGTGTAGGGAGTCAGAAGTGAAGCAGGAGAACAACTCACAGTGAAGCCAACAATCTGTTTATTGCAAATACTTATTTCAGACAATGATCAAATTACTGTAAACATAGACATCACCAGATGGCTGATATAGAAATCCACTGGATAACATAACTAGAGTTAGGAGATGGAAAAGCTGTTTTTTTGCTACCAAACCAAGGCCAGAAGCAGATTGTAGTAGTGACCATGAACTCTTCATATCAAAAATCAGAATAAAGCTGAAAAAGATCAGAGAAGCATTGTAGCAAAATGCAATTTAAATAAAATTTCTGAAGTCCACATAAAAAACAGATTTCCTTTACTGAACTCAACTGACCATGAGCCAGAAACAATGTGGACTGAAACCAGAGATATTATTAGGAAAGAATACAAAAAGATAATTCCTCTAGGAAAAAAGAAAGAAAAGGCCTAAATGGATGATGGAAGAAACAAGTAAGCACAGGTGAGAAGCAAAATCAAATGGCTACAGAAGTAGGGACATAATCCTGAATGCAAGGTTTCAGCAACTATTCTGTGGAAACAAAAAGAACTATTACAATGACCAGTGCAAAGAAAAAGAACACCACAGAGGAAAAACAAGAGACCTCTTCCACAAAATCTAAAAAAATCGAAGGGAAAATCAAATCTGAAAGACTAACAGGGGACCATACTATCTGACCAGAAAAAAATAAAGAGAAGGTAGAAACTATATACTGAAGAACTATATGGAAAAAATGAAAGGGTGACAGAGTCCTTCCAAGAGGAATTCTATGTGGAAAAGCCTACGCTAAAAGAAACTGATGTGAACACAGCTCCAAAAGTACTTGGAACTAATAAAGCACCTGGAGTACACAGGGTACCAAGAGAATAATTCCACGTTGCAGAGACAGAATCAGTCAAAATCCTAACAAGAATAGGTCAACATATATGGAAAACAAAACAATACCCCACAGACTGAACATTTTCAGTATACATTCCAATCCCCAAGAAAGGAGATACTAAGGAGCTCAACAACTATAGGATCACTGCACTAATTTCTCATACAAACAAAGTCATGCTCAAGGTGTTACAACAAAGAATATTATCCTATATGGAACAAGCAATGCCTGACATTCAAGCTGGATCACAAAAAGGAAGAGGGACTCAGAATCATATCATAAATATGCATTGGCTACTGGAGCACACCGAAGAATTTCAAAAGAACAGTCCATGCTTTATGGACTGCAGCAAAGCTTTTGACTGTGTGTATCATGAGAAATTATGGAAAAGAAATGAGGGTGTCTCAATGTGTACCTCATACCACGGCAAGCTACTGTTAGTTTGGTCACAGAATGGTTTCCTATAGGCAAAGGCATCAGACAAGGGTATATATTATCTCCTTATCTGTTCAATAAGGAAAGAACAGAGGAAGGAGTGAAAACTGGCAGAATACACATCAATACTTTACGATATACAGATAATACGATATTACTGGTAGACAGCAGCAGTGAATTGAAACAACTCGTGCTGAAAGTGAAAGAAGAAAGTGTAAAAACAGGACTGCAGCTGAACATCAAGAAAAGAAAAACAACAACTACTACACAACTTTTAAGGTCAGGCCTGAACTGGCTGAAATTGTGAAAGACTTTACAGAGCTTGGCTCAGTCATCAATTCAAAGGGAGACAGCAACCAAGAAATTCAAAGGAGACTGAGACTTGGAAGAGCAGCAGTGAAAGAACTAGAAAAGATCAAATGTAAGTAAGTTTCACTGGAGACCAAGGCCAAGATCCTCTGTGCTATTACAGTCCCAATCAATATGTATGGGGGTGAAAGTTGAAGCAAATAGGAAGAGATGTGTTCAAAACATGGTACTGGAAGAGAGCTTTGTAAATACTCTGCAGAAAAAGTGAGACGAACAAGTCGGTCCTAGATCAAATCAATGCAGAACTTTCCCTGGAAGCAAAAATGACCAAACACACATTGTGAAAAGGCAAGGCTCTCAGAAGAAGACAATAATGCTAGGGAAAGTTGAAGGCAGAAGAAAGACCAAATATGATATGGCTTGGTTCTATAAAGTAAGCCACAGTTTTGCATTCACAACAGCTGAGCAGAGCTATGTAGGACAGGATATTTTGGAGGGCATGGATTCATAGGGTCACCATAAGTCAGAGACAACTTGATAGTACATAGCATGTACTTATACAAATCTATATAAGCCACATTTATTCTGATTGATGGAATATCAAAAAGAAATACTGAATATTGTAGAGCTGGAAAGAGTCAACCAAAATGATCAAGGGACAGAAGCCACTCCTCTTAGATCAAAAGTTAGAACATTTGGGACACTGCACTTAGAAAAAAGGTTAACTGTGGAACAAACTTCTTCATAATAGTAGAACCCAAGGTTGTTGAATGAAATTCAACAGTGGGAGATTCAGAACAGATGACAGGAAAGGACAAATTCATGCAAAATAAAGCTACGAGGAAGGTACTATTGAGCTCCTGCCCAGCATACGGACTTCAAACAAGTATTTAGTTGGCCACTGTGCAGAAATAATGCTGGACTAGTTACATCCTTGGTTTGATCCAGTGCAACACTTATTGATGAAGGCCTTGGTAAAGAGCGTGAAGAGGCAGGGAGTCTGGAGTGAGGCAAGTCAGACTGGCTGGAGTAGGAAAGCACCACTATGAAGGCTCTGCAAAGCCATGCCTGGCCTCTACAGGGCGATGGAGGTGTCAATTTTCCTTTGGACAATTTTCAATTGGAGCAATGGGTGGGGATCTGAAAAAGAACTGTTCAGTTGCCACCTGTCTACAAAACAACCTCTATGAAGTAATTTATGAGCTTTCCATGCCCTTTTGAAGCAATTGATGGAGACGTCTGTAGGGCTTACGCAGCTTATGCATCCATGCAGGGATGCCAAGGCTCTTTCCTGATCTGCAGCAGCATGAGGGGAGGACAAAAAGTTGTTAGCAGTGAAGTAGGCCTGCTACACTGGTGACAGTGTGGGTTAAGTGTGCAGTGGCAGGTGGTATGCTTTGCACAATCCCACTCAAAGCCCCACTATGCGTTTGATGATGCTGTAGAGGGATGCGAGTGAGGGGGAGGAGGCACAACAGAGAGGAGAGAGCAGTGCCCTGGACAAACAGGGGATGGGAACCTGGAAGAATACAGGCTGGCCTGCAGCATGGCAGGAAGGCAGCACTGACATGGGTAGCACATGAGTGTGAGCATGTGTACATACATGAGGGGGCATACCCCACAGTTACTATTGTGTGACCACACTCACAGGTTTTTAAAAAATCATTCACAGGGACAAAAAAAAAAAAAAATGGGGAGGCACGGGACAACAAGGTTGTGTCTGCACAACAACTTTGTGAAACCACATGGTATTTTAAATGTAAGAACAGCAAAGCAATGTCTCCAATGATTCTTACCATAACTTCTAAATCAGAACAGCTACAGTTCATAGTCCTTTCACTGTCATTCACTTTAAAAGTTATATTGCTCTGTTTTCCAAAAACACAGTCCACATTTATGACACCACTAGCCTGCATGGTATGAGAGACAGCAAACTGAAGCACACAGGGAGGAAACTCTAATTTAGAGTCAACACTAGGAACAGAACCAGTGGCCCAGGAGCAAAAAGCTGCAATACTAGATAAAGGACACATCTGGCCTGTTCATTCAATATGTTATCCAACAGGTTGCCTTTGGAAATGTTCCCAATATAAAATTCAAGTCACCCTAGTCATAGAAAGCATTTATCCTCTTCTAACCTCCACTCTAATGAAGGATCCCTACAGTCTTGTGTTCAGTTCTTATTCTTGCTAGACACAGGCTCTGCCTCTTCAATGCATTATATTTATAATTTCTTCTGCTGGATATAGGACTCTGCTACATCTGGTATGTCTGTGGAATAAAGAGTTTTGCAACAACACAAATCTGCAATAACCAATGCTATTTCAATAAAACACCCTCAACAGTGGGGAAATAAGAGTGTGCAATGAATATATGCACAGCAATAGCAGGAACATTAGAAATATGGAAACCCCAACATTTACACAGATTTACAAACATGATTTGCAGGATATATGGAGCAAACATATCATTCAGACATGTCACATGCTAACACTGAAGAAATAGTTATTGCCAGTCAAAGCATTTGATGAAAATTTTCTGAAGTCCAAGATATAAAAGCCCAGTAAGTTCTTAAAGAACAGCTGCCTCCTAATGCAGTCAAGGACCATCTTGCGTGGCAATTTCAAAAAAAGCTGCCTTGGGTAGTTATGATGGCACTTCTTTCCGATGAACAGATTCTGCCTCCCCAGTCAGTTCTGCTGCCTTTGAGAGTGCGCCACAGGCAGGCCAGGATCTGATGCATCTATATGGATGGATAAAGCTGCTGGAAAACCACAACAAAGAGGGAAGAGAAAGACAATGAACAGCAATGTCAAATCAAGGTATGTAACTACAATTTTACATGCAAACTTTTATATGCTAATCACCCATTGTCTCCTGCCATTACTATTTATTTATTTTTTCAATTTGTATCCTGCCTTTTTCCTACAAAGGGCTCAAGGCAGCTTACATCTCCTCCTCAATCTTATCTCCACAACAACCCTGTGAGGTAGGTTGGGCTGAGAGTCTGTGACTGGCCCAAAGTCACCCAGCTGGCTCCATGGCTGAGCGAAGATTAGAACCCAGATCGTCTGAGTCCCAGTCCCATGCTCTTAACCACTACACCACACTATCCCATTCAACTACTTTCATCCAGGTGTACAGGGCTCTAAAAGACTAGAATAGCAAGAATCATACATAATCTTTTATTCTGATTTCTAAAATGCTATTCAGGAAATCAGTCACAACAGAAGTATGCCAACCTATTAATACGACCTGTTCTTTACCTAGATTGGGACGGGGGCAGGTGAAAGAATGTCAGTTGAATGCATGATCCAACTAACTCTAGAGCATCTAAAAATTACTCCTTATCTCAGCCCTAGAGTGCCCCAAGAATCAAAGCTGGTCTTTCTGTTGCTCTAAGTTGTATTTCCACATAACGGCAGAGCATATGAAATCATCCAAATTTCTCCAATGACAGCTGTTCTAGAGGCACCAGTTCACATAAATTATGCCTCCATCCAAGTCTGCTCACAACTGTAAGCATTCTGACAGGCAGTTACATGGGGCCATCATGTGTAAACTATACCTCGAAGATCCTAAAGAAGAAGCTCAAGAATGTAAGCCCCAGGTTAATCTAGAGTAAGGTAGTACAATCTTGCATATTGCATTAAGCTTTAAAATGAAAAAGTCCTAGGCTGCTGCTCCCATTCCTGCCATGAATTTGTGTGTGTGTATTCAGTGGCTATCATCTAAATTCAGTCAAATTCAGCAAAACTTTCTATGGGGTGGGGGGAGGGGAAGGAATCTACGACAGAAGATTTGTTGCTGCATGTTTAAGAAAGAAGCTAAATTCATCACCATGACAGGAGAGAGTGTTGGCAGAGATTTGAGCTATTTATTCTTTTAGGAAAATCCTATAAAGAATGACATGAGGAAGCCTCTATCTGCAGTCTTGTTCATCACGTTAGTGAGGAGTCCGATAACAGATGTATGCAGTGGCGTGATTTAGTGCCGGGAGCTGGCCCCTGATGTGTATTAATACAGCGGCAAAGCGGAACGAGCCTCTCTTCATCACTCATCTCTACAAAAGAGGTGGAATCCGAGATGGCCCGATGTTAGGCAGAGCAAGCCCATTTGTTCTGCTGACTGATGGAGCCAGCTCAGGCTGTGTCCTTCACCTCTGTGGGGCACTCAGGTTGCATAAAAAGAGTTCACTGAAGCAGGACCTGGTCAACAAGTGAGATGAGAGCGGTTGGACTCAGCCAAAAGTCTATTTTGGTGGAACTGTCTTGCCCAGTAGGGTTACCCCTGCTTGTAAACAAAAATGTGTCACATGGAGCTACAACTGCCATGAAGAAAATTGGGGTCCACAAGCTAGTCAAAGAGGATGCATCCAATGTGGTGAATAAAAGCATGTCGAGGTGGAAGAGAGAGAATCCAGTGATCAAAAGGGTGCATGTCCTATGCACTAAAAATACAGAAAGGTAGTTACTTTCTTGGAGCACCAGCTCTCTTCTTTTTTTACAGACTTTAAGCTTTCATGGTCTCAACAGGTCCATAATCCAGAACAGATGTTTGAATTGGTTTTCTGGGTAAAACCTCTGCACTCTGTGCAGGAAGGAAGCTTTCTTGACTCTTTGCAGATATTTCATACCGAGCCAAAATCACTTGGTTGGGTCTTCTGTCAACACACATGCTCTTCTAGGGCCAACATGTGAGGGAAGCAAACGTATTTAAGTATCTGCCTTATCTGCATATAAGTAACACTGGAGAATAATTCACCTGAACACCTCCCTGACTTACCTCCGCACACCCTCCTAACCCAAGCATTTTTCCCCAACCTGACCCACTTCTGGTATTGCAGCCAGCTGGGAAGAGGCAGAGCTGCAGAACACAGAGAGGTAAGGCAGGGGAAAATCAACCTCCCTCACCTGGATATGCCCTTTTATGTAAATTAGACTTGTTACATGACTATAAATAATGCAGATACCTCTGGCATATTTTAGTTTGGTTTTTAGAAAGAACAAACTGAATATATGTGGCCTACTCTTTCGCACAACATTTTCTCAAACTCAATTCCTACTCCCATTCATACTGCAAATGCACACATACAAATGCTCATTATTTGCTATCTCTGTCAGTGACAAGCTTTCCACAATTTCCAAATCAAACACAAACATGATTTCTTTACTTTGGAGATTTGGTCACAAAATTCATATCTCCTTTTTGACAAGTTTAAATTTGGAGTTGGCCTGAGGAGCAGGGTATTGGTCAAATCACCATCAAGAACATTTACCTGCAAAAGTTCCCATAAGTCATCTAGTTCCAGCCTGTAGTTTAAAAGGCAGCATCCTGGGGGTCTATGATTGCTAGAAATGGTTTTGCTGGATTTGATTAATTATGTGAAAAACTTTGTACAGTATTTAATGTATTAGAGCAGACCTCAAACAAATCTGTTCCAACTGTTTCCACAGGAAAACCAGTGTGATGTAGTGGTTAAAAGTGTTGGACTGGAACGTAAAATATCTGGATTCTAGTTCCCACTTGGCCATTGGGTGACTTTGGGAATACCAATGACTCTCACCCTAGCCTAACTCACAGGGCTGTTGCTGTGAGGACATAACACACCTTGGGTTACTTGCTAGATGGCAAAAAGCAGAATATAAATGTAGTAATAACAATTGCTATAATAATAGTCATGCTCTGACTGTTTCCATTTGCTATGTTTGTTTTTATAATGCATTGGTTACATTTTAAACTACTTTGATTGTCCCTGAAACAGAATAGTGCAATATCTGTATAGGCCCAGCTCAGTACAACATAAAAACCATTCCTGTCCCCCGTCACTGGAGAGAAAACCAGGGCCTCACGGTGATTACACTCCTTCCATCTGTCTCAAAGTTCAGCGCACCACAACTAGAGACCCAGAGTTTTTTGGCTTGCACAGAATATTTAGGGAGCAGAAGGCTCCTTTGTAACCATGATTATGGTTGGACAGATAATTAAGTTTGAGGATACCTATATTAAAGGAGGCTTTAAACGATACGGAGCGTGAGTGAGGGACTTTTCCTCTATTTCTTTCTGAGAACATATGAATTTTCACAAAGAGCCACAACACAATCTGCACAAGATTAAGTTTCTGTGAGTTGTACCAAAAATTACAATAAGTAGTAGTTTGGGCAGTACCCCTCTAATCCTGGGACAGAAGTCCCAGCTATCGTTGCACTTCCAGGTTTCTTAATGCAAGAAGGAGCCCCATGATTTTTTTTATGACACCCTCCATGGCAGACTGGACAAATATTTCATACCACGTATTTTATTAACTTCCCTTCCTTACTGCTTCTTCCTCCTTCCCCTTTATTGTTTAAAGAACAAAGTGCATATCCCTTTCTACTGGGACAACCAACATGAAGCTTATAGACCACATATGCTTTCCCACCTCCTAAATGTGCAAACGTAATTGAAGGGAAGGGCATCTGGAGGAGCTACAGAGCATCCAAAGGCTTAAGATTAGCTTGTCTGCAAGTAATGCTGATTCTTTTAGTGCTTCATAGCTGTTCGAGAAGACCCAAAGGATTAAATTTCTGAAACCAAGCTAATTTTGACACCTTGGGAGTTCAACAGATAATCTGGATGCCTTAAAAAAAATGAAAATTTTGCCAGCACCATAGGAACGAGGAGGACAAGCAGCCTACAGGGCAGGATCCCATGGACACAAATGGTCAATGGAGCTCCTGAAGTTGCCCACCCTTGAACTAGAAACTAATACCCATGAATAAGCATCTTGGTTGTGTCCTGTTGCAGGTATACATACAGCTCTATCCTGTAACACCCTGCTGCCATTCTCTCCCCCCAGCACCTGCTTGCCCTCTGCTTAATTGTGACGCCAGCCCTATCAGTCACATATTTCAAAGCACCTCCTAACATGACATACACACTTATTTTGTATACTCCAGCAAAGCTGCTAGGGTTTGCCATAATGGTACAGCTATTTGCAAATGCATTTTGTGCATTTCTGAATAAAATACAAGCTTACCCTAAAGAAAAGCACAATAACAGAGTGGAGACATATGAACAGGAAACAGACAAAGACTGGAATATCAAGGGACAAGAGCTAGGCAACCAAGGAAAATAAAATGTTACAGATAATATAGATGCAATAGTGTAGCCACACTAAAGCTTCTATGGAATCGATTTTTTGGGTGCCTCCTCTTTAGTGAATTAATTGCTACTTTAGTTCTTTTCAAATATCCACTACCCATAGGAAACACATATTTATTAAAAGTGTTTTTTCTTCTAGATCAGTTTATTATTTCCTGTGTGCATCTTCTAATGAGACTATATCAGCCTTCCCCTACCTTGTGCCTTCCAGACATTTTTGAACTGCAACACTCAGAATTTTCAATCAATGGCCCTGCTGGATGGGAATTCTGGGAATTGCAGTCCAAATGCCTCTGAAGGCTATCAGGTTGGGGAAGGCTGGACTAGATTGTCCAATGAAATCAGCACATCCTTCTTGTAGTCGGGAAAGTCACTTCTTTCTGTAGCAGAAAAACACTACAGGTGAACAGATATACTAGGGTGCCAACATAATTTCCCTCTATGAACAAGAGGCTCTTTAGGCTGAATTCCAAGAAACTGACATATAACTCCTACTTCACTTTATTAAAGGTTTTTCAACGAGCCTACTACTGGTATCTGGACTGGATAAACTATGTGCTATGTATATGCAAGGTGTTAAGGCAAAGCAAGTTCTGTAACAAAGAAGGCAGTGTTCTACCAACTGGTTAATTGAAATATTGTCAGTGTGCACATATATCCTTACTTTGCAGGAAAGATTCTGCTCCTGCTAGCTACCGAAGGCAACGGGAGGTATTATGAAAGACCAAAAAACCTACCACTGCCCATTGGAAATCATGCTGCTCAGGGACATCGCTGGCTCCTGATCATTTATTAAGCATTATTCACACATTTGCACATCTACTGTCAAGTGCCAAACAGAGCAGTGACTTAACTATTTGTCCAATCCTAAACTGGGTAGTAGTTCACTGCACAATCCTGCCATTAAGATGCCTGTTCTTCTGTATCTTAGAGGAAAAGAGTTAAAAGTATAGGTCTTTTTCAATCTTGATCATCCACTTCACTTGGCATTCTTTCAGTGCCAAATGAAGACCTACCTTTTTAAAAAACATTGTAATATTTATTAGATGCCATCAAACCTCCACTTGTATTTTAGATGATGTAATTATTTATTGGATTTTATATTTATTAATATATAGTGGTTGTTTCAGTTTCTATAATGGTTTTTAATTGTTTGTTAGCCACCTAGAGATGCCATGGGCATGACAGGTGGCATATAAATGTTTTAAATAAATAAATATTCCTTCAAAACTATACCACCACAAATTGTTAACTATTTCTTGTATGGCTTAGCTAATTACCTGAGGTTGGGCTGGAAAGGGAAGCAGTTGCTAACACTGGCTTGCGCTTCCTCTTGATATCCCTTGAGCATGGAGGTCCCAGATGTATATTACTTTGCCTAAAAAAGGAATAAACAGCATTGGTTTAAAACAATAAGGCAATAAACCCCATATAGATAGCTACTCGATAAAGAAGGCATCAGCTGAGCCTCTTTTAATTATCTTTTACCAAATTCCATTACGGGTTTATTTTCTAATAAGAAATCCTCCAAAAAGCACTGTTGGTGAGCACTTTAACTACTGCACAGAAATTACCAGTACAGTATTATGAAAAGAACAGTCAGACAATCTACAATGCACTTAAATAGCTTGGAGAACATTTTTTAAAGTTCACAGATAATCATGCAAAAATACTCCTGGGGGAAAGGGATACTTACATACAAACCGCAAAACCTGCATACCTAAAAACTTTTGAAAAATCTTTGTTCAATAGGAACACTGGTTAACCTTAGCTATAGTTTAGATGTTGCATAACCACAGTTCACATGTGCATGGAGGGACTTCAACTCCAGAAGATCCACTTCCATAGTTTAAGTATCAAAAAATTGACATTGTGCATGTGCAAGCACCTAGAAAGGCCAAGCATGAGGCTTTCTTATTGTAGCCTAAGGCTAAGGCAAGGTGAAAAACAAAATGGAATTACTATAGTGCAAGCCGACCACAGAAACTCACTCTATGCAAATACATAAATTTCTTTTTAAAAAAATCTAGGATTCAATGTGGCACCAAATTAAAGCTCCCTTTAATGCTACTGATTTCAGCAGGATGATGTACCCTTTACTCTATCCTGGTTTTGTGCCCTTCCCTTTACGTAGGTTAATCTTGCTTAATGTTCTTGCATGTACAACGACACAATCAAAACAGAAATAATTTGGTTTCACAATTGGCTCCTTATCTCTGCTGATATAATTTCTTTGTTGCAAAAGGAGGAGGGCTATATAACCAAATGTTTTAAATTATGCTCTCAGGTAATAAAAGGCTTGATTTTATTGGAAGCTTCCATGTTTTAATTATCATTGCAATTAATTAACTAATATGCATGGTTTTCTATATATGGGGAAATAGTTAAATCAATCCATCTTGTCCCCATTAGATTTTGCCAGAAATATTTGCTCCTTATCTTTTCAAGTTAAAAAATATTTCTAGTGCATCTTCACAAATTCCAAGTGTTCACCCTAGATAATAGAGTTACAACAGGTCTGTGACATGAGGTAACAGTTCCTCTAGTCAGATGTCTAGGCCAACCCCTCTTGTTTTGCCTTCTGTACAAGACTTAGTACAATGAACAACCATTAAAAATCACTGGAACCCTGTTGCAGCCCATGAAACATTGGTCCCCAAATCTACATTTGTTAAAACTGCAAATAAAATCATGAACATGGCAGGATTAACACAACACATTAGGCCCCTGGCAATCAGGCAAAGCGAGGGCTTTCACTAGTCCTGTAACACCCCAGGAGATAATGTAAGAGCACCAAGTTGTCCTGAACCACAGCAAGCCATTTAGTGCTGGCCACAGCTTGATTTAAAAAAAATAAAATAAAATGTTAACAACAGGGTACAAAGTTACAATATGACACATACACTGTGACCATGCAGACAAATGTTCACACCAAATTATAACTTTGTGGCTCATGGCTAATTATTTTTTCAAAGATTTTTTTAAAGGCTGGGTGTGTTGAAGCAGTGGACAAAATGACGTGGCAAACTTAAAGGATGCAGTTTTGCTATTTCAAGAGCTCTGCAAGCAGAGGTGGTGTGAAGTCCCTACATGCACTTGTTAAACAAAATATTTAACTATTAAAACTACATAAAAACATTAAACCTGCTGTCCACTGACAGTATCCAGTTGGACATGGAAACTAATGTAAAATTATTCTGCACTAGTTTAAGGGCGCTCTAGTGCAACATCAGCAGTCTTAGCTGGTGTGATACATTCCAAAGCCCACACAGGGTTGATTCAGTTGAAAGCTCTTTCCATATTCCATAATTTGGAAGCAAACTATGAAGAGACAGTATTACTACTACAGGAGGCAGAAGTGTTCATGAAGTTGTTGCCTTCCAAAGAAACTGTTCATCTTTCTTCATACAGAAGGAAACATTCAGTACAACACACTTCCTATTGAGGTTATTGGTACTAAGGCGTTATTCAGCTTAGCTGGTGCTGTTGTACTTATAGGCTGCAGATACACTGCAAATATAGGCTGCATAAAAGGTGCTTTCTGAGCCTTGAAGTACCACCTGGGGCTATTTCTGATGCCTTCAAAGGTCAAAATTAATAGTGAGAACAAAAATCCTCCTCCCCTTTGAAAGGACACCAGCCAGCTGGGCACCTAAGCCTCATCTGCACATCACAGGTAGAAATTACTACAACTTGCTCATCCAATCAGTATACTGAATGCAGCATCTTTGCAGGCAAGGATTACCCCATTACATAGCACAGAAGAGTGCCTAGATATCAAAAGAAAACCAATTCAAAAGTTGCCTATTCCTCTAGTAAGGAGACTGGAAAACACTATGACCTATCTAGAGCTTATTCCTAAGGAAATAATTTTTCCACCTTCTTCCCTGATGCTCTTCACTGTAGTCACTGTCAGCTGTGCATGCTAACTGAAAACTCAATGGAACCTCTACTTCACTCCTTCACATTTATGAATAGGTAACTTCCACAGAGGTCTTTGATTTCATATCAGTTATGGTGGCTACTAGCAACAAATCATAAGTGTGTGGGTAACCAACCAACCAACAGCACCTGAAAGAGTAATTCCCCTCTCCTCATTCTCCCAGCATGAAGAAAGCTGTGCCTCACCACTAGAGTCTGCCAGTGTAGAAAAACTACCCTTTGGCTATTCAGTTGGTGATCTTCTTTAGACTTCACTTACATCAAAATATGTTTATCCAATGAAGATGTTTTCCAGGGGATGGGGAAAATATCTCACCCAATACTATATGGTGCACTAGTAGCTCTATGTAATTATCATTATATTGGCCGCTGAGTCATATTTTCACTAATGACTACTAAGTGTGCTTCCCACTCCTCATTTATATTACCTGCACTGACAAGGCCAAATGCTCATCCTGTTTTTACCTATCTTGGATTTGAAAGATCTCATGCAGAACCCTAACTGTTATTCAGCTTTGATCTTTGTGATAAGAACCCTGACAAAGAGCTGGCTTCACTTGGGAAACCTTCAGCTATTCTGAGACATAGCTACTGATATGGGCTTTCAGGAAAATGCTGAATTAGTACATTTTCTGAGAAACTGTCCTATGCATGAAAGTAATTTGCACTGGGAAAATTTTTTTGATCCCCTAGTGATCTAGTTTAGTGTGATTATTTCACTATTTGTATGTAGTACAGACAATTGAAGAAAAAAATACCTCATGTTAAGTTTTTCTTCCAATATAACCCCACTTCCCTGAAGTGTTTGCAGGGAAAACTTATTAATCACACAATTAAATGTAATTTAAATATTATATTACCTATGTTGTTTTACTGGAATGCTTGTAAAAATGTAAAGACAATAGCATCATGTACTTCTTTTGTGGTTGGTTGCGAAGTCATGCTCGACCCATCACAATCCCATGGACAATATTCCTCCAGGCTCTCCTGTCCTTCACCATCCCTCGGAGTCCATCCAAGCTCATACCCACTGCCCCAGTGACTCCATCTAGCCACTTCATCCTCTGCTGTCCCCTTCCCCTTTTGGCGTCAAACGTTCCTAGCATCAGGGTCTTCTCCAAAGAGTTGTTCCTTCTCATTAGGTGGCCAATATATTTGAGTTTCGTACTTCTATTACATTGTTTAAATTTAAGATAAAAATGAAGGTATTAACAACTGCTGAAACAAATGCATTTTAGTAACCCCCAAACCTGTGTATAACACATGTATTTTCACATGTGCATGATACATAGACAACTGTGCATCTACAACTTTGAAACTGCCAAGCTGACTAATATTTTATTTGCAATTCATTATTACTAACAACAGTGCATTATTGCTAACTAATTTATGGAATGGAAAAATGTCCTCAGAAAAATTAAGGCCTGAAAATATGTGCACCCCAAATCATTGAAAATACTACAACTCAAATGGCCAACATTGTTCTAGAAACGGGACTAAGGAATGTCCCAATTACTTCCAAAGAAAACAGGGGTGGTTAACCTTTATATTGCCAGCCAATATACAAGACCATGAAAAAGAAAAGACAGTACTCAACATACTAAGCCAGTGCAGCTTAGAAATTTGAGGGAGAAAAATGACAGAATAGTTGTCAATGCCAACTTCTTCATGCTTTTCTCTAAAGAGCAAGCACTGTCAAAACAGAAGCCATGACAGACATGGCATGATTAGTAAATGCTTTGTGCTCTTAAACAGCAGCAATTACAGGCATGTGAAAAGAAGGGAAGCAGTCCCTGAGATGCTCTTCCTCACATGCCTCCCAAGAGGCGGCAGGCCATTAAAATTCCATGATGAAGAATCAAAAACAGCCTGGGAACAGCCAGGAGGCAATACAGCAAATTAATACACCAATCATCCCCAGGGAGGGTGGCAAAAAAGCAGAAAACTCTCTTCACTTTGCAAAATAAAATTATACTACTAATGATAACAGAGTCACCAAATACACACACACACCCCACTTCTAATGATGGGTGTGGAATTCCCAGTGCTGCTTCTGATGCTTTGAGAAGTCTCGACACATCACAGGCAGAAAGCTAGAAAGGAAGTCTTGGTATATTACAATTTATACAGTCTTTTAACCACATCTTCCAAGGAACCCTCCACACAGAGCCTTCTCCTTGACACTGAGGAGCCCCTCCTTGCACACCCATGGCTCCACACTCAGCAATCTGGCTGGCGGCTCTGTTTAAATGAAGCAGTGGGTTACAAGACAGTCACTATGCTACCAAAATGAATAGCGCCAGAAACCTCCAGGGAGGAAAAGAAAACAAAGGCTAAGGCAGACAAGTGAAAAAAACAGAATTTGCCTGATAACACTGCTTCCAATTGATTGCATAATACATTTGTGAAAGGCTTTCCAAAGGCAGACTGCACTTCCAAGTCTTGGCAGTTTGAGAAGCAGGGAAACAATTTGCATGCCACTAAGCGAGGGTGGGCAATTAGGGCCCACAGTACTGCACATTCTGAAGATTGTTTTATCTTTCTTTCTACTGCACCCCGAAGTATTGTGCCTCCTGAGCTTCCAAGGCACAATAAGCTTGTTAGCAGGCACTCATGAGCGTATATTCTCAAATCAAGGGTGGAGGGCCCCACTGTTCCATATTTTCTCAAAACAGACTTGCAAACCTGACAGCTGCACACCCACTAACAAATTTTACCAGTACACGCACACAGTTGTATTCTTGATCTATTGTTAGAATGTTGGACAAGGAAGATCTTAGTTTTAGTACTCATACGACTTTGAACCAGTCAGATTCTCAGCCTAACCTACCTCACAGGATTGTTGTTAGGATAACATGGAGAGAGGAAGATTAGGTACGCTGCCTTGGTTCTTTGTAAAAGGAAAAATGGCGAGATATAAATGCAGCAAATAATATAAAAATCTAGTGTGAATATATGTGTGCTTGCATACACATACACAAACATGCACATAGAGTGCTCCCCCAACATTTTAAAATCACCTAGAGACAAATCAGTCAGTACTCGCAAGCAGGCAAGTAGTTACTTACAAGTCTAGCTTAAAGCCCACCTAGAACTTAGCAACTTGCCTGCAAAATTACTGCTCGGTCAAACCACCAATTAGAGCAAAAACCATCAGTTTTACTAAACAACTTTATTTGAATGAAAATTGCCATAAATATGACATTTATACACTGAACACGAAAGCAAACTACAGAGTCTGGACTCAAGAAATTATCATCTTCTTGACCTTTGAGCTCAAGCCCTTCCCATCAGCATTCATCATCATTGATGGCATTCTCCTAAAGCTGTTTTTATTGTGAATTTCAACAAAACAATAAAAAAGGAAAATGTTTAAATGCAATGAATAAGACAAGTTGAACATCCAAAGATTTCAGAGGGAAATACCTTCTAGAACTCACAGATCATTAAGTGAGCCACACAAGTAAATAATAAAATCTGCTTCATAAAAGACATCCAGTGCTCTTTTGAAATAAAAATCCCCTGTTCCCATGACAACTGTTTGAAGAAAATATTTAAGAATTTTACACTTTCAAATGTAAGTTAGAGAGCTTTCTTCCGACCTCCAACCTAAATTTAATAACAGACAGAACCATTCCCGCATCTAAAGTCATTGACCTTCTTTAACCTTCCTATAAAGTTATTTCCTGTGTTATAGTAGCTCCTTCAATGGGCAAACACTGCTTCACTTATGGAGATTTCAGATATCCAGATTATTTATCCTAATCATCATTATCAAGATACATCAAGGCTTTGTGTATTCCCATCCATCTCTCCCATAAAAATCTGAGTCATAGGACTGCTTGACTTGAGATAAAATATTGCAGAGAAACTGTATCCATTACAGCTGTAGACACAGTTTGCATGATCAGTACAGCTTAAACAAGCCATGGTGGCTTGCTTATTTATTATTTTATTTTATATTGCAATTTATATCCTGCCTTTTTCCTACAAAGGGCTCAAGACAGCTTACATCTCCTCCTCAATCTTATCCCCACAACAACAACCCTGTGAGGTAGGTTGGGCTGAGAGTCTGTGACTGGCCCAAAGTCACCCAGTTGGCTCCATGGCTGAGCGGGGACTAGAACCCAGACTGTCTGAGTCCCAGTCCCATGCTCTTAACCACTACACCACACACATGCTTAAACCATGGCATGTGCTGGGAAATATTAGCCTAGTTACCTACCCAGCTTTGTCATCCAAACCAATGCAGTAAGGCTTGCCAGAGAGAGAGAAAAGCCTACAATGACCTCTTGATGCTGTAGTAGATCATACAAACTGGGTCAACTAGATCAAAGAAAGCACCAGCTTTCTTCCATGCATGATGTGCAAGAACACTGAATAAAAATGCATCACTTGTCTAACATCCCTGCACACAATAAATGTGCCCCAAAGACTGTACACACCAACTATTACCATGAAATATTCTAATATTCAAGATTGGAAAAGATTCGGGATAAATTAGTGAGCAGTTAGAAGGAGAGAACTTATATAAATGATGGGTCTGCTTATTATGGTTACATAATGCAAGGTACAAGCGCTCCTCCTGGAAAGAGCAGCAAGGGTGGGAAGAGCACTAAAGTGTTTGTAAAGCAAGGCAGGAAAGTCTAAGACACCTAACCTACTCCAGCTAAGACACAGATATTAGTATACATTCAAATTGCTTTCTTTATCCATCTGTTAGAAGGTAGAAATGATTAAACAAGTTACATCGATGAAAGAGAAAGAAGGCATACACTGCTGCCCATAGTTAAACAAGCCAAATCTTATGCCCTAGCACCACACAACAGAATTTTTGTTTGTTTGTATGGAGCAGCTGCTGGTTCTTCCTGTGTAAGAGAGTGGACAAAAGCAAACAGGACAAGAATATTAAGAAAAAATGTCATCTGGGAAGATCCAAGCAGCATTGAGAGCTGACTAGCTATTACATGGCAGGACCTCCATTGAGCACAACTTATGAATTCACACTTAGCATTAATACATTCACAGTATAGCCTTTATATCCAGCACTTAGCAAGCATTTGACACTGAGCATCCATTAAGCAGTAGCACACACCACTACACAGTTTGTTAATGTCTTTCTGCTGCACACTGAAGACCTTTTTGAAAGGTTTTTCAGTTTCATATATTTTTAATCCAGCTAAAAGCTTAAGTATTAATGCTCTGTTTTACCCTGCTGCTTTTAGCTTTGTAGTCCCTGTTTTACATCATTTTACTTTATTCACTTTGGATTCTTTTGAAGAAAAGCAAAATAGAAACTTTTTAAACAAAACAACTATCTGTTCAACCTTATTTTCCAACACACATACTCCAAAAGTCAGCAAATAATATCACTGCCCACAAGGAAAACAGAACATGATTGTTACCTGGCAGTGCAGTGTGCTGGTGAGCACCTTCGGTGTGAGGCATCAGCAAAAACGTCCAAAGAATATAGAGGAGAGAGTGGATTGAACTAAAAATGCAAAAAAAAAAAGACATATCAAGGGATATTTTCCATATAAAATTGGTTGAAATTAATTAATTTTTATACTGCTCAATAGCTGAAGCTCTCATCAGTGAGAGTGTTCCAAGATAGGCTAGACATGCCCATGGTGGACATGTCATGAATGGAACCGGATGGAGCCAGGGGTCAGACTAGATGGCTCAGGAGACCCCTTCTGAGTTACTGTTTCTATGTTTCTATCCTCATCCAGATCCTCAGAGTATCTGGATTCTTCAGCAATATTTGTAGCAGCAGGACAATCTCTGGCCCCAAGCCATGCTAAAGGAGAAAAACAAGTATACCTATAACACACCTAACCCCACACAAATGAACCCTGGTCTGTGAACCAAGAATGTTTCTCTTCTAGAATAACTCTAGACATGAAGCCTGCTCTCTCATTTGTACAAGACTATGTATCGTCGTCACAGTTGACTTTCTCCCCACACCCCGCCACGAACACTGTCAATTCCAGAATAACTTGCATAGATATTACTTTAATATCATAGGGAGTGCTTATAAACACAACTGTGGAAAGAACAGTTCTTAATAAAGATGTGACTAACTGAAGCCATCAGTTTTACCACTTGATTATACGATTTCCTCACATCAGTTATCATGGTATGCTATATTTTTTAAGGAAAATTGGGTACTTGTACAAGTGTAGTGTTTGTACACAGAAACTTTAGCACAGCTTGATAGATTTTTCTCTTAAAAGACAATGGAACAAAGCTTTACATTCTTAGAAAATATAAGAGCTATAAAATCTTTAGCATACCATGCCATATGGTCCTCCAGGGACTGGGCCACATGTAATGGATTAAATAATTGAATGATCCCATATATTAAAATCTTTCTGCATTTACAAATCCGACATGTCAGTAAGAGAACTGATTTCTAAGGTTTCTCCTTCATTTGCAAGCTTTGGATATGCATGGCAAGATTTTAACATGACGAAAGATCCAAACGTCCAATTTCAATATATATATGATGGTACATTCCTAGGATGACTGTAGGCATGTACCATACCAAATATTTGGATCAGTTCAACATTCAGTAAGTCGCCCAGGAAGTCTATAGTAAATCAGGCAGCATGTAAATCAAATATACAAACAAACAAAGCATAACGTTCAGCAATAAAGTAATGCTTTACCCCATCAACTACCTTCATGAATGTCTGCAAATTGTAAATATGAGTAGTAAGCTATGATGTCTCTTATCATTTGCTACCAGCTGAACTCTGATGAAATTTAGTATAGGTGAACTGCCTCTGGGTACTACCAAAAACACCATTCAGCTATTTACACTTTTAGAAAGAAATCAACTTCCTTGAATTTTGAAGGTTGTGTACCATCAAATCTAAGGAAGTTTAGAATACAATACTAGCAGTTAGTAAGAAAAGGATCAGAAGTATTATAATTAAAATCAATTTCAACTAGATTAAGCATTCATCACAAAGTGTTACATTCTAGACATATGGTATGAAGAAAATTCTCTCATATGCAAATAAATCTTTTTCTTTCACTTTATCCAAGTATCCACAGGGGACATTCATATCCACCATCCAAAAGAGCAAACATTTCAATGCTCTGTCAAAAAGAAGACTGACCAATAGCAAGAGCCAAGTTGCAAAATTCCCACAGCTAAGCATGTTAGAACACTATGGTCTAAGAAATGTTTACTATCATTGCCAGGGATATTGGTACTGAACAGAGAAGAAAATGAGTGTTTTGAGCTTAAAAGGAGGAGAAGTGTTTTGCTACTGAATGGGGAATACAGGCTTCATTTAATTGACTAACAGTAACAGCGGTCACTGAACGAAGGGGTAATCCCAAAACACCAAATGAGGGGCCAAAGGATTTTTTTCAGATTATCAGCTCTAAGGTCAGAGGCTGCATTCCAACAAGGAAATTAGAGCTCTAACCTCTCCCCACTGTCCCCTCACACCTGGCATGAAAGAACCACACCAGCAGTTCTTCAAGATGAGAAAAGCAGCTTCTATAAGCAGTAAAAAGAGGACGTTCAGGGGAGGGAATGAGACTGGGGAGGCCAGGCATTCTGCAGCCACTCCAGCCTCCTTCCCTCTGTCTCTAAGATGCTCTAGCAAAGTGATTCCCAGAGTGGGCAGTGCTGTCCTGCTGAGAGTGGTGGAAAGATCCAGGGGGGCAGTAATTAGTCTTTTAAACTTGCAGTAGAGCAAGAGACTTAATACAACGAAAGAGGCATGGGGACAATTGGTTATTGCCCAAGAGGAAAGAGGGCAGCAACCCCAAAAGGTTTGGGGACCACTGCTCTAGCCAGACAGACAAAAAAGCCTTTCTGAAGGTTGCCTTCACTGCTCTTCCACTCTGGATGCTTATGGACATCCTAACAGGATTAAGCCCAAACCACTAAGCACACTCAGTTATTCATTCATTCAATCTTCACCCCTTATATGGTGTAACTCAGCGAAAGCAGAAGAGTTAACAGGGACTAAGTGTAAATGCTCACTGACTCTCTTTACAGCAGGAATCAGGCACACAGAAAAAGCAATCTCTAGAACAGACCAGGAATATCAACTTTCCCTCTGCCTCATATACATGGTCAAGCAAGTACCAGCATTATTGAATAGCTGTCAAAGCAGCTATGGCTTCTTTTTGGGACAGGGATGAAACTAAAGACTAAACAGGCTCTTCAAAGTCACACGGAAATTTACAAAGCTAGTCAAGAAAATACAACAAATGTTTTAATTCAATAAAACACTAAATGGAAAGGTGGACAGAGAGAAGAAAATTGTAGGGGAAGGCTAAAGTTCTGCTGTACTGATTGGTACAAGCAGCCATTGTGGTCTGCTAAGATATAACATAAGACCAAAGAAAGGGGCTGCCTTACCCCTTGTACACAGGCTGCAAAGTGGAAGAAATGGGAAGCCAGCACTTTGTTCTTTCTAGAGAGATAGAAATCAAGAATATACAAAGAAAGCAAAGGAAAGACAGCTTACCTGGTTGCGATCTCTCATTCCCATTGATGGCAACCAGAAACTAGAAAAAGAAGGCAGAAGAGATCAGTTGGAAGTAGCATGAGAGAAGAGTTGGAAGAATTGAAGAAACAAGGAACATTCTGTGCACAGGGAAGAAAAGAAGACTAAACTTCCATATAAAACAGGTAAGCTAAAGATGTGGGCAATTAATCTACATTTAAATGGACTGAGGAAAATCAATCTAGTGAAGCATCATCAAGGGTGCCCACACTATCTTTTGTTCGCTAATCCAACAGAGAAAACACTACCACCATATTCAAAAAGAACATTCCATTGCACCCACCAACCCAAATCTTTTTAGCAAAATAAATTAGTTACTACCTTGCATATCCTACCATGGCCCAAGGAGCTTTGGTATTTCTAGTACTACCATTCCTTTTCATAATCTATTATGGGTCTTAGTGCATGCTATAATAAATGTTATGAAAGAATGAGCATTATTCAGTTGATAGGGAGCAATGCACCAGAGGTGTTCTTAGGACAATGGGAAGAGGGCAGGAAATTCAGAAAAGCATTGTCCTCTATTTAAGTGGTGGCTCTCTAAAACCTGGAAGGATTCCTTTCCAGTCATCCCATAAGATAAGGGACAGGTCTCATTCAATATGATTAATCTTCCCTCTCCTCCCCTCCCCATACTTCTAGACCTTCATCTACTATACCCAGATGCTTACTCTTTTTGGCAGGAATCACCAATGATGTGGCTAATCCTCTCTGTGCCCAAAGCACTCATGATGGTCTCCTGAAACACAAAGTGAGAGTGGGGAGGGGAAAGACAGCAGCTGAAACTACACAAGATGGCAGCTGACCCATCTGTTTAAATCTGGGTCTTCAACTGCATATACAATGAAGGCCGATGAGGGAAGTTGTCCACCCCAGTATACTCCCTATAATCTATTGAGTGAATTACTTTTTAAGCTGGTCAGAATCAAATATTGAGGTAAACTTGTCTGGGAGGGACTTCAGTAAGGCAAGTTACAGCAGGGATGAAGGGTTAGCTTCTCTTCTGCCCTTGGGCTTTCTTACCCCACTTCATAAATGACTGAAGCGGAGCTAAATTTAGACAAATAGGTCTACCACTATTATGTGTAGCTTGAGGCTCAGCCATTGCCCTTCCACAAACCAGGCAGCAACAACACTCAGCACACTCATAAGTTCATGTTCACATGGTGTAAAAATAACCTCATCAGCTGCCGGACAATTAATCAAGGATTAATCAAGAAACGTGGCTCCAGCAGCCCTGCAAAGTTAACCTTCATGCCAATTGGAAGAAAACATTTTATTCATTCTCCCTACAGTACACAGAATTCTCTCTTTGATTCCTATGACAGAAATATAAAGAAGGAAATATTAATGAATGGTCCATTCTACATATAGCTATCAGTTTTAGTATGGTAAAGAAGGCCTCAAAAACAAGATAGATAAATATGTACTGGAATGATCTAACCATAGACAATCCTACTCCTGGCCAAAATCTCAAACATTCACATGAACATGTGAAAACGTAGGCTACAGTCCTGTAATGCTTACCCAGAAGTAAGTCCCATTGAACTCAGTTGGGTTTCATTATAAGTAGAAATTCATAGGATTACAGCTAATACATTACAGTACCCAGAGGAGGGCTTTCTCTGCGGTGGCACCCCACCTATGGAATGCGCTCCCCAGAGAGGTCCACCTGGCGCCGTCGCTATTTGTTTTTCGGCGCCAGGCCAAGACCTTTTTATTTAAAACTTATTTTAATTGTTAACTTATGGTATTCATAGGATTTTAAATTTTTAAGCTGAGATGCTACCGGGCTTTTTAATCTCTAATTGTATTGTTATTTATATGCTTTAATTATGCTGTGAGCTGCCCCGAGGCTTTGTTGCGATGTGGGCGGCATAGAAATGTTTTAAATGTTTTAAATAAATAAATAAATTACCCCTGTATACATTATTTAGAAATTGGGGAGGGTTTTATTCCTTCTAGGAATAAGTGTCTGTCTTTGCTAGAAGCTAGAATCCTACCCCAACAGGTGACTTAGCTTTGCCTCTAACACTGAAGGCAAATGCATAGTCACCATGACAGCCTTATCCTCCATCAATTTGACTAAAACCGTTTTAAAGCTGTCCAGGTGGTCATTGCCATCTCTTGCAAATTCCATAGTTTAACTATGTGCTGAGTGAAGTTGTACCTCTGTTTATCTGTTCTCCTAGCCATGATCCCAACAGCAATTGTTTCTCCTCATGTGCAGTTATTAGTGTTTAAAAAGACTTCCCACTAGCACCAACTAATAAATTAAAAAAATACCCTAACATAGTTTCTAGTGATGTATGTAGTGTCATCCAATTTGGCCCTTTGAGGAAAATCAGTACATTAGAAAACTTCCGTGTAGTTTTCTTCAGGATACATATACATGATAGTTCATGTCCTGGCTATCTTATGCAAGAAACCCTTGACTATCTAAAAAAAAGGTGGAAGTCCCAGATGAAAGCTATGTAAGTTATTACCTGAAGCATGCTGTTTATCTCTTATTTCTTTTATTCTTTGTTAGTGTGTTTCATTTTTGAAATACCTTCAAGCACTATTTTTAGTGGAAAGGTAAGATATTATTTGTGCATTTAAAAAACTCATTCAGGACTTGATTCAAGAATTGGAAGTGTGGACACTCGCCCAAGATCAACCCTTGACCTGCATCAAAACCCCAAAATAATTAATCATCTCAAGCAGTCTGCAGTCATTTCCAGTACAATATGTTACTCTGGACAGTTTCTGATAACCCAACTGTTACCCAAAAGTAAAGCTTTCACATGAAAAAGAAAAGGTACCTAAGACAAAGATAATGACATGCTGCTATAAGGCAAGATGGCTTTTATAAATTCAGCTCAATGGATTCTAGTGTCTGTTGCTGCATATACTCACACACAGGGTTCTGTGCATGACATTGTCTGCCACACAGAACAAATTCTTATAAGATAGGGATCAGGAGAAGATCATTAACAAGATAGGTGGCCTAGGAACCCTGAACACTATCACTTGCAAGGTTTCTGGGAAAGCAGCAGGGGTGAAACATGGGCTATTTGTTACAGCAGAGAAATTATTAACTTAAAATGCCATAATGTTTAAATTTACGGTTTATTACTGTGTAAATTACAAGCCGTACTTTGGGTAATTAGCAGCTCGCTGGCGGGGAGCTTTGAATGAAACTCATTATTTATTATTACAATTTAGAAGAGAAGCGGGAGGGGGAACATTGACCTCCACTGCAAATGACATAGATCCCTTTAAGGTGATGAAGATGAATTAAACAAGTAAATATTATTCTTCAAATTCTGGTTTACTGCAGGCACCTCGAAGGAAGGAAGGAAGGAAGGAAGGAAGGAAGGAAGGAAGGAAGGAAGGAAGGAAGGAAGGACGGACAACACTCTCCTGTACATCTTACATCAGCCTGGTGGGAAAGATCCTACCAATGATCCTACTAACATACAGGCTTCTTCTCTATAAGTGGAATTTACTTCAGGAGACTGTCAGAAATATTGAAGCCTGTGAGAAAGATTTTGCTGAATACAAACTTCAAATACATCAAAGCTGCAACTTCTACCCAAACAGGTATTCATTTTCCTTCAGAAGAACCAGGTGAGCAAACTCTGTAGAAAGTCTTACTTCCTGCCACATTTTCCTGCAGCCCCCCCCCCCCCCCCCCCGTATCCCTTTCCTGCTTAATATTTGGGGAGTTCGGGCTGCATAGCACTGGCTGTACCACACAAAGGAATACCAACAGTAGCAAGAAATGCTTATGATGCTCAACTCAGAAAAGCAAATGTCCCACAATTATAGCTCTCAACACTTGAGGCAACACAAGGACTACACACCACTACATTAACAATGCTGTAATGTTTTGTAAAACTTGCTCCATTCTAACTATCAGTTCTGTTTTCCTCATCTCAGGAGGATTCTTTTCTCCTCTGTACCAAAAGACTTGCACCCCTCTCCAGTTTCTTCCATTCTACATTTGCATTTTCAGCCAGTCCCATTTGATTATCCACTGAAGCTTATCGGCTTTTAAAAACCCCTTGCCATGACCATTTACAAACATGAGTTTTTATCAGCTGATACATGTTGCAAAGGTAGATCCATGACAAGCATGTCTCCTTCAGTTTGAACCAATCTCCCCACAACAAATTACCATCTCTGAAAAGTAATACCTTGCTAACCAGCCTCCTACGGCCCTTCCTGAGGCAGCGGGTAGCAACACTGGGAAGGCGATTCAAGCGGGCATGAAATCCTGGGTGGGGTGGGGGGAGAGAGAAAGAGAGCACTGAATACAGAAGACTGGCAAAGGCCACAAAACACAGTAAACTGGAACACAGAAAAGTATCTACACTTTCCAGGTCTATCTACAATATTCTGTGGAGACTCAGCCCTATTTGCTATACTCTGATATCTTTACACTGAGAGAATTTAAATACAATTAGCTAAGATATATAGAAAAGGAGCCAAAGACTTTGGGTAGAGCACTGTGAGTTACAGCTCCCTCTTCTGACAAGAGGCTGTTGGAACCTTTAGTGCCTTTTGTGTATTAGGCAAGTGGCATTCTGACTCTAAAAGAATTGAATAAAAAAGTATTAACCAAGCTACACAAAATAACCCTGCCATAATTACATATACTCAGTATATTCCTCTATTAATTAGCTTATATTTAGCCACTATAAATTAATATTTGCTTCTCAAATATATACGGAATGGCCATGGCATATGTTGTTTCTATAGTCTAATGTACAATTCTTATTAATCTAAATTAAATGAATTTCACACATCTATTAAGAAATCTGGTTTTTAGCTATCTCAACTGTCACTCAAACATCCATAAGGTCCCCACCTCTGGTAGCAGGCCTAGAGGGTAGAAGGAAAGTTGGATCTGAGATTTTTTCAAGGCTGGAGTCCATTCGTTCCATTTCAGATTGACGGTCAGTTCCCCACTTGGGCAGGAGGTTGGGAACTGTGAATCCTGAGACACATTCTCCTTCGTAGAACCAATCACTCTGCTCATCATCACCTAAGAGAGAAACAAAAAGCTATTCAATGACCCCAAGATATCCTACTGTGTTTCCTCCTACGCATTCAGAAGTCAGTATCATGTGAACATAGTCAGTTATCTCTTAGTGATAGTATAGAAATAAGAAGCACTTCCTTCAAGAATAAAAAATTCTTAGCTGCATGCACCAAGCTTACTCATATGCTGAAAAAGGAGAGATGACTTTCTATTACATGTATTACATCATGTCTGAACATGATTGCTTTATCAAGGTGAATTTGTCCTTTATGTTCAGGTGTATAAACAAAACAATGCTGAATTATTATCTGCAGTAATAAATATTTTTAGAAACTGCATTTTATCATGATGTAACTGTTACAGGCAGACTGGGGAAGACTCAACCTTTAAATGCCTTTAAATATACCCTCGACTTTATAATAAAGGATTCATCAAATTTAATATTGTGCCAGTAGCTTTCAGACAATGTTTATTATCTTTTCCCTTAGTACAAGACTGCACAATCTGTAACTCCCCCAAAGCTTCTACTGAACCTCCCCAAGGATATCTTGACCCCAGCATCTCCAAATTCCTCACTACCTCAAATCTCTACCTCTCCTTGCAGACATCCCTATATAAGTCACTCTTTTCCTAATTAGCCGCAAGGAAAAATCTTTCTGTATCAGAAACACTGATGGAAGGAATAGAGACATATCATACACATCACTGGGATGTCTGCATGTGTACATATGCTTATCAGTTTCATGCAGTCATTGGGCTGCAATGGTCGTATATATGGCATGGAACAGAAGTAGTGACATCTGTGCTGTCAGAAGACACCTGTATTCCTGTTAATCATACTTTTTAAATTTAGAAAATGACAAAATAACTTTGTATAGACTTCAAAGAAACTTTATTTTAATTGAGAAGCAAAATTGTCATGAAATGCTAAGCACAGCAGCAGGGGGTAAAGTATCCTTGCTAGTGTTCACTACATGTGGAGGGGATAGTCTGCAAGCAAAATTCAGATTTGACAATATAAGGAAGGCTACTTGGTCTCTAAAGAACTGGAATGAAATCCACACAGAATTCACATGCCAAAGGCTTATTAGCAGGGGAAAGAATCACATTCTCCTGGATGTAAAAGAATTCTCCTTGATATACAAGGACTGCAATTGCATCAGTCATAGTCAGCTTAACCAATTCTGGGATCAATGGGATAACCAATGGGACTTGCAGTCCAACATTATTTGCACAGTCACATAGTCCCCATCCCTGTTTTCAGTTTCCCAGTCAGGCTAATTTGCATGTTTAAGACACGGTTCCACCACTGGATGGACAGGACTGCACCACTTTTTTCAAATTAGTATTATTGTAATCATAAGCATGAAGGAAATCATAGTGTTTATATCAAAAACACTCTAAACTGAAAAAGAGAAATATTATGTATTTAAATTTAATCATCAGTTGCCAAAGATGTTGGTTTGCTGGTGGACAGAGGCTTTTCAGCTCTTTCCTTCCACTGCAAACACACACACAGCACAAGACTTTCTAGAACAGAATTTTGTAAGGTACAAGACACTACAAGGAAACCATAAACATAGAAGTCCAGAAACGTTTTCCAGAAACACACTAGGGTGGTGAGCAATATTTAATAATTGCTCCATGAAATAACCAAACATTATTGGCTCAAGTTATGGTTTCCAACTGATTGTTCAACCAATTTCAACCTTCCCTGTCCCACTAAAAGTGTTACAAGATAATATGACAGTTTTAAAACTTGCCCCTTACAATGTTTGAAGCCAAAAGAAAGGTGCAAATGAGTTCTCTAAAAAAAAAAACATTTGAGGGTTATTTGCAAATTTCTTATAAAATGCCTATTTATTTATTTATTTATACATACATACATATTTATAGGCCACCTATAACTGCTGAAGCTTTCCTAGGTGGCTTACAATTCATTAAGTTTACAGCACAATCCTAAATAACTTTGCTTGGAAACAAACTCCACTGAGATAACCGGGTTTATTTTCAAGGAAAGGACTAAGGATGAGACTTTAATAGAGCTGGTTCAGCCATCTGGACATTAAGGATATTTGGGGAACACAGAAGGCATGGCAGGAAGAGAGGGAAATCAATTAAAATGGTCTTCTCCTCCGTTCCAGCAGTACTATTAAAAGTCACAGATAGAAGACAAGTTCTGGAACCATCACCATTGCAGATGCTCTATTTTTAAGGCACAGATGTTAGCTAAATTACTTCAGGTACTCATGATTAGAAAAGTTAAATACCAACTTTCAAATAATGTCATAGAAGTGCATTGTTTCATTCCTTGAATCTTTCAGGGTATAAAGGGATGAAACACTGCTCTTCTATATGAGGTTATTTGGGTTCCTTTGAACTTGTTATTTAAAATTTCTAATCATGAGTACTTGAAGTATGTAAATGTATCTTATGCACACTTACATATAAAGCATGGCTAAGATTACGACCTTAACCTCATTAGCTTCTCCCTTGATTTCTATGCAGTGCATATCTGGACCTTTGTCACTACTACCCTTTTTTCATTAGTGGCCAATAATTCTAACTACTTTCCCCTATTGTACTATTCAAAGTATAAAACTAAAGAATAGGAATGTTAACCTATTGTTACCTTGGCGACCTTCATCATTGGTGAAAAGGCCAGTGTCACTGCTGCTACACACACTGCTGGTTTCACTGGAAACAGAACACAGAGAATTAAGCACACATGCATGTCTAATAGCCACCTCTGCAAAAACCTAGGAGAGTTCTAGGACTAGGAGAGTTCCCAAGTATACATTACATAGGAATAGCATTGCTGTAAGGCAGTACCAGGTTTAACATGCTACAGCAGTATAAGAGAGGAAAACAGTCATTCTGTAGGTATCTGGCACTGTACAACTGAGGAAGTAACATAGGATATGTCCAAATAAAAAATAACTGTGCAGATCACAAATATATTCTCCTTGAATAATGCCAGCAATCTGTTAAGAGGGTAATTAGAGTATGATGAAATATGCACAACTGATTGGATATTTGCAAGGCGAAATAAATGATGATATGAGATGCATTTTATGAGCAGAGGCAAAATTACAGAATTTCTCAACCTTGCAGTCATTTTGTTGTTCTCTCAGATGAAATCATGCTTTCACTAACAGCCTAATATTAATTAACTGGAATAAAAGGACACCGCTGACATAATCTCAGATAGGTATTTTCTAAAATAAAGGTTTATTTGAGAAGGTTTAATGACAGTAAAAAGAGAGTTAAACTTTATGCAAGATGACAATATGTTGCAAATTTGATACTTTCCTATTACTTCCATGCCCATCCATTTCTCTGGAATGCAAGCTATTTTAATTCTTCATAGAATGACAGGTATCTGAATAGTCCATAGCTATCCCAGATACTTCAAGTAAACAAATGCCAGTGTACACCACAGATACTCAAGACAATAATTTCCCCATCAACCCTTCTGCTTTATTCAGCTTCCTAAAGGTATTTTGCCAAACAAAATAATTGGGAACTTGTTCCTTGTAAACAATGTAAAAGATCATAGTGGGTAAACTGCTACAGATATTGAATACCAGGTGTAAAATCCCTGCTCACAAACTTCTAGTCATTCATCTGATCATTAGCAATAAATAAACACAGCCTCCAGGCAAACAAGCTGAGTTGGCTTCAGTTTTTAAGCTATTAATGGGTATATATAATCAGACCAACCACAAAGCAGCAGCTAGACATTTTTGAGGACTTATTTAAAGGTTGTCACTTAACCATGAGCATCACTGTGGATCTTAGCTACTGACCCAGACCACTGCAACTGGGAAGGGCTAAATAATCCTATCTTTGACTCGCCTCTTTTCCAACAAACCAAAGAAACACCTTTACAACAAACCACAGGATTTGGTTTGTTGGGTGAGAAACAAGCCAGGATTATAAGTTCAAAGGCAACACCAAACAACTGAGGAATGGAGTATGTTTCTGAGTTGTTTAGCTGCTTTTGCTTGCAGAAATCAATAGGAAAATGTTATAATAAATGTTACAATCAATGTATGTACAATAAGATAATAAAGCAACCATGGATAAACACACCCAAGTAATCTGATTAAACTGTGCCCCTATTTTATCCTTTATCCAAGCAATATCTTACTGTCATTGGACCAGTTCTCCCAATTCTTGTAGCTCTATTTCAACTAAGACTCTGGCCTGCTTGCTTGCTTGCCTGCCTGCCTGCCTGCCTGCCTGCCTGCCTTCCACCCCCACCCCTTTTCTGCCTTCCTCTCTGCTTCTATCTTCTTTCCTGCTCTAGCTTCCAGCTTATATTGGCTAAAACGATATTTTCTTCCCAACCTGAACCAATCAGGAAGGTAGTTTCTCATTCATTTCTGCAAATTAAGTTTCAGTTTCCTGAGTAAAAACTTTTCCCTCACCCACTGACATTTTGCTAAGTTTTCTTATCTGCTGGCTTCTAAGCAAACTTCCTGACTTTTACATATTATTAAATGCTAAATATTTAAAGAGGGCTGGATCCAAATAAACTTTCAAATGTTTGAGTCTTCAGTGCCCAGCATTTGTGATCACTGACCATGGTAGTAGGGCCTTCTAAGGAGTTGAAGTCCAAAACATCTGGTTATCTACCTTTTGCCCAGTTCTGCTCTAACCTATTAATCTTTTGGCTGAAATTAATATATCAACACAAAAAATATTGAAGCCTATAATTTCCTTTAAAAATCAAGGCTAATTCTGTTCCCTCCCAATTCCCAAGATTTTGATAAAGCTAAACTGCCCTAGTTGAAGGAACTGTGAGACTGAAACATAACAAAATATAAGATCAAATCAAAGCCCGTTGTTCTGACTGTTTTGGCCCCTCATATTTTCCATTTGTGTTTATAAAGAAAAACAGCTTTGCAATACTATAAAACCTTCATGAAGCAGTTAGAATACAATAGGAGCTACAAAGAATATCACTGTAACTTTGCAAAAAAAACAAGTGTGATACAATCCAATCTTGTGTCATATCAAAAAGCCCAGAAAATGGCAAGCTTGCATGTGGAATGATATCTCCTCATTGTTCTGAACTGTGCAACCTGGCAGTCCAAGGATAAAAGAGGAGGATGTATTCACCATAGCAAAGTTTGTAACAATACAGGAGTAAAAAAACAATACTGGGCATCTCTTGATTGATAAGCATCACCCAGAATGTATCATGAGACGAGTAATGCCAATTAATTTAGTCAGTTCGTGTATCACTGGAATCCCTAATTTATAAACCTAAACCTAAAAATGTTTTAGCTAACCCCAAAATTTCTAATACTATTGCTTACAACACTATGAAAACTATCACCATAACAAACATCAAAACTACAGAATTTTGCCTACCTCCTATAGTGAAGTAAAATCACAAATACTAAACATATTGTGATTTGAGAAGACCCAGTGACCGATCAGATCTAAAACTCAAGTAAGCATCTAACATACTTGCACTTCTGGACTGTCCTTTTGTATTTTGATGCGAAAGTTGTTGTTTTTGTTGTTGTTAGTCGTGAAGTCGTGTCCGACACTAGAAGACTATATAAGCTTTTGCAATCCTCTCTATCTTTACTTTAAGCTATCATGCACCAAAACTAGAGGGTGAGGGAGAAAAGATCACCTTCTGTAACATCCACAAACATTTATTTACAAACAAAAATGGGAAGATAGAATGCTTGACATCAGGTTTTCTATACCGTCCTATTACCGAGAGTCGCAGGACGTTCTTACAATAAAACAACATCACAGTGTGTTGTTAAAGAGGGTTGTTGTGCAATTACATGCAATTACAGTAGATACCAGCAGTCTCTGGGAATTGTCTAGCCAAAGCCAGCTTCTTATTGTGGCTGTACGTTATCAATCAATGTTAGGTTTATTATCATATCTATTCCTCTACTCCAAATCCTCAAGGTAGATTGGTGAAACAAATATAAACAAATGAGGGCATAATCATATTGATTGCACCCTTGATGTTCAAAAGTTTCCAAACTTGTAGGGTTATGACCATCCAGTGCAGATATTGGGAGTATTGGAGGCATTCTCTACTTCCCTGCTCTTCCCATGCTGCATTTCAGCTAGACGTCCATTTTTGGCCACCTAGCTACACTACTTGAGGGGATGAAATGAAACTACAGAAATGGCAGGATACCTTGGTAATCCCCCAAAAATGACCTTGAAGAGGTAGCTGGCACTGCTTATTTTGCGTAGTGGGAAGGGAACTGGAATGCAGTTTCCTACCTCCAAGACTGGAGATCAGTCTCCAACTTCAGTGCTGGGATCTGAATTATCCTATGACCCTGTAGATGCTGAGTAAGGGAGCATAGGACTACTCTGCAATTCAGTAGAGGTTTTCAAAACTATAGCCAGCCTTCTTCCTGCAATCACAGCTCAAAGGTTCCTGCAACAGAGGCCAGTGCAACATGAAAGCATACTATGCTTTAGTAGAGGATATGCAGTCCAGTAAACACTGATTAATGACCTCCAGTTACAATGGAGGCTACTTACCTTAACCACAAAATAATGAATGCTATTGATCCGACAAGCTATTGCTATAGAGTGTTATTGATCACCCAATCTTTGGTTAAAATGGCCCTCATTTAGCAATTGCACTGTTGCAAACACCTGGAGCAAAGCATGGCCATAATTAAATAGTTTGGTAGAGTTAAAGTGAGAGGTGATGGACAGATCTCAGCTCTCCCCTATTTAGTCCTGCTCCTGAGCTACTGTTTGTGTCAAGAAGGATATTGATTTTCTATAAAAATACGAAAACAAGAGGCACAGAGGGGATGCAGAAGGTCAGGCTGGGCTGAAGGGGGGGGGGGGAGAGGCAGGACACTCTGTCTCTGTCACTTGCCTTCTAGGAGTGGAGATTTTTTTTTTCCTTTCCTGGGAGGAAACCTCTAATACATCAGCTTAGCTAGGCTCTCACTTCAGGCTATCACCAAATACAGCACCTATCAAAGAGGAAAGGAAGTGAGCTACAAAAGTTGAAACAAGTGGGTGTTCTGATAGTTGATATATTCCATATCTTGCTGAATATTAGGGTAACAGGGAAATTCAGCAAGGTATTTAAGCTGAATTCAAGTAAGAGAAATCTAATTTGAGAGAAATCTAATTTGTTCTACCAAAAGGAAGTGTGATATGATCAACAACTGCCTGAAGTCCAAAAGAGTTTGACCAATTTGATTGGCCATGGTAATAAAACTACTGCTTTACTGACGAGCATTAGGTATCTGTAATTTTATTGGCACGTCGTCTCCAAAATATGCCAGTCTCAAAATGGTTTACAAAGTGCATGAAAAGCAGAGAGGCTTAAGACAACATAAAGCTGATGACTGCAGCGCTAAAAAATAGCCCCACTGAACACAACAGAACTGACGTCCGAGTACAACAGTAAAAGCTCACACTGTAAATTAATGAAGGACCCCCAACTCATGTCTACACTGGAGATAACCAAAGTGCCATTAGGAAAAAAAATCAAAACATTGTTTTATTTCTACGGTATTGTAACTAGCACATTCATTCCAGCATGCCCACTAAATCTTTACTTTTCTTCCCAAAACTTTTAGACAGCAATCCTCTTATACATTACAAATGCCAACTGATCCCAAATATAAAGGAAACATGCCTACCAAGCACTGAATCTAGGCCTGCTGGAAGGAGAAGTGGAGGCAATTTTTGCCAAATTTTTTGTCCTGCTGCAGTTCCTTGTGCCTCTTGGGAAACTGATCCAGTACACTGGAATATTATGGAAAGTGCTGTAGTAGAAATTAGCAAACTATGCCTTCCTCATTCCTTCAGCAGGGAGCTTATGCTGCATCTCAATTCCTTATATGATTTGAAGGAGCTGCTTTGTTTGCAAAAAGGCAAGTTTGGATCCAGACCAAAATAACAGTTCTAAGTTAGACCCTGTGCAATTTCATATTTGAAGTATCTTCCTGCTATACAAGAGGCCAACTGAAGAGTCCCAAGTATAACCACCTAATTGTGTTTTTAAATATCACTGTTTTACTAAAAAGCATGGACTCAGTAATGTCAGATTAAAAATCAGCAAACTCATTTATTAAAACACAAGTTCTTGTGGACTAGAGTACACTTCACCAGAAGCATGGTGTAAAGAGGAAAAAGTGTCAACAGAGGTGAGGTCAGAGGGAAGTGAACTACAAAAAAGACAAAATAAGATAATTACATTCAAACTTAAATGTAAATAACAATATTTATAGTGATCCTCCACAAGAGAATTGTAACACAAACATTCTCATATTAGTAAGCAGTACCTGCAGTGGGATAAAAACACTGATTCAGCCACAGGTGATATAACAGTTATAACTGTAGTCTAGCCAATTAAAATTAATCTTTGGAAAATAAATGCAAGTTACTGGAGAGCTAATTAACTCAAATAATAATTTAAAATCTATCTGAGCAGCAAAAATTTTTACAACAGTTAGGATAAGATGCCTTTAACCATTCCAGGGAGGAAAGTAGATGAGAAGGGGTTAATCCATATCTCAGAGGTTTTTACAAAAAAACTCAAAATATTCATCATAGGAAAGTATCATAGGAGGCCCTGTATACTTCTGCCATATAGCTTAATATTGTCAATTAATATCAATATCAAAAATAATTGAAGTGTTTTCGACTTCAGATCAATAAAATGTTTTTCACAAGCAGAGGATTAAGTTAGCAAATGTTATAAAACAAACACCACATACACACTGTGTGTGTGTGTGTGTGTGTGTGTGTGTTGAGAGAAGGAGAGGGAGACTTGCTTACTTGTAGAATAAGGTATGCTGTGTTAACAACAAAGTACTTTGTAGCAAAAAAAGAAATCCAGGGAGTAGATTTTATTATTAAGTCACAAGGCACACATGCAAACTAATACCATGCAAACAGCTCCTGAATTAGCAGATCTTACCAGTTATAAGAGAACCAAAAATACATATTGTCAGTAGCAAAGAATAAACTGAGGAACACACATAGATGTGGTTGTACCTCAAAAATCTAGCAAAAGAAGATACCAATTGACAAAAAGTAGTCCAATCAATATCTACATAATCTACAAGCCACAAGTTCCCTTTTAACATTTTAAAAATGATAGAGCTCCCTTTTGCACTGGGGCTCAGAGGAGCTAGGATGAGTAGTGCTGCTATTTTGACCCATCAGACAAGCAAAGCATGGAAAGGTTCTGCTTTCCTATCCTATCAAGAAAATAGGAAAAATGTAATTCATATTGTATACAGAAAATGGTAAGTGTGCATATTAATACATAGGGGAAGAGGAGAGAAGACTAGAAAAAAAGCCTAAATATTGTAAGGAAAGGTGACTACTAATTTTTTCTCATCATTTAAAAAAATTATTTCTTAAGTTCCATGTGCCCCAAACAACTAATTTTGACACAGAGGAACAGCAGGCAAGAAATAAGGACATTCCTCCAGTTTAAAATGTAAACTAAACATTCAGCCATATACCTCTGAAATACCTGCTTCCTAGTACCATTAAATATGAGACAGACCATGGAAATTCTACAGTTACCACACCGTAACTCCAGATTTTATAATAGGCAGCAAAAAACACATGTAAAAGAGTCAGATATATGTCTCTTACAAAGGCTTTTTGAAATGTTGAGTTTTGCTTTCATTTAAATCATGTTCAATTTACTTGAATACACCTCTTAAAGGAGGAGCAGAAACCCTTTTCTATTGAGGGTCACATTCAAAGGAATACTCTGTGAAGGGCTGCATACTAATGGTGAGCAGGGCCATCCCTTTTCTTTCTCCTGCTACCATCCCCTTTTTTCTCCCCACTCCTTCCCGGACCAGCAAGCTGGCACAGAAGGGTAGATCACTCTTGCATGAAGGCTGAACTGACTGCTTCCAGAGGGCTTTTGAAATCAAGCCAATGGTCACATGAAATTAGACTGAGAACTACTAAGCAAACATTAAGTTGCCCACCTTTCCACAGGTATACATTAGATACAAATCCATCACTTATTAGAGAAGGAAACAGCAACTTTAGCACACACTGATGCAGAAGTCTGGGCATTCTGTGTGAAGCATCCTGTAGTATGACATCACTACTTAACCTGCAATCATCATAAATATCAGCATGCACTGTATAACTACAATGCAAAAAAAAGGCTGACAGCAATGACAATAGTAGCAATATCCTAGCAACATCACTTGTATTTCAGCAAAGCACTTACTTCTGAAGCTCCTAAAAAATACCAGATGGTATTTCTGAGCAAACACTGTGGGAAAAGATCTGCACAAGAAAATGTCATCTCAAAAAATATGATCAAGAGGATGCAGGATAACAGCAACAAAGCTTGACTGATAAACAATCATGCTTTTTTGAGCTATTTCTAATAAAGATTGGAAATCAGAGCAAAATCAGTTTCACGTATAACACTGGAATCTGCCCACATATCTCCTGCAAAACAAGTTTTTAGCAGAGAGTCACTGACAATGAACAGAGTGCTATCTTGAAGAAAAATGGAGCAATTTATACCAATAAAGAAAATGGTCCATAACAAAGGAAGCTACCCAGTGGATGGACCATCCACTTGTAAACAACTGTAATGGAATATTACAAGAGAGTCTTGTACATCTCACCATTCGGACATGTTTTCATCAGAACCCTGTTTCTGTTCATCTGCTTCACATTCCATCCTCTCATTCCTTCCACCTTTGCTGAGGAAAGCCCTGGTCTCTGCTGACTCACACAGTCCTCGGCTGGATGATGTCCAGGGAGCATTCTCCTTCCAGCGAGACAGACGCTGCTTCTTAGCAGATTTGAACCTGCAACCCTTCTCATAACTCCATTCTGATACTCTGAGTTTTTGTTGAAGGCTAGCAGCCACCTCTGAAGTCACACGCTTGACCTTTCGACGGCGCCTGAGTGGTCGGCAAGGTGCATTCTCAGTGAATGAGTCTGACTCATGCCAGGTGTGCTGCTTACTCCTGAGAGTTGCACTGAGTGTTGGATGACGTTTGGCTACTGCCATGTCATCTGAGTCACTGAAGTTGGCAGTTAGCACTTCCCAACAGTCTTCTGCAACTTCATCCAAGCTGGACTCAGAGGCCCCACTGTAGCAGCAGGCATGCTCTGCTTGGTGTGTGAGGTCTGAACGCCGTTTGCGTCCTCGCCTCTTGCGAAGCTGTCGACGCTGCTGCCTTGGGCTCAAAGTCATTTCTTCACACAGCTCATCCAGCTTTTTCTGTTCAGAAGTCTGCTCGAGGGCCGAGAACAAATCATGCACCAACTCATCCATGGGCAATGTCTGCTAGCATAAAAGTAAACAATTAGATCCTACCTGAATAGAAAGAGCCTAGCTACAGTTACCCATGATCTGGAAATCTCTCATTTGGATTACTATAATGCACTGTATGTGAAGCTGTCTCTGAAAATGGTTCAGAAACTGAACAGATCCAAAAAGGGGCAGCAAGACTGCTAATGGAGGTTGGGTCATGAGAATATATTAACACCAATCCTCTTCCAGCTACACTGGCTGCCGGTTGAAGTCCAAGCCCAATTCAAAGAGTTGGTACTAACATTCAAAGCCCTAAATGGCTTGTGGCAAGGTTATCTGAAGGATCGCCTCATCCCATATGCACCCACTAGATCCTGAGGTCATCTTCAAGGGTCCTTCTGTAGTAGTCCCTTCCAAAGGAAGTGAAGTGGGTGACTATCAAGATGAGGTTTGTGGCACCCCAGTTGTGGAATGCGCTTCCCAAAAGTGTACCTGACACCTACTTTATATTTTTTTTAGTGGCAGGTGAAGACCTTTTTATTTTTCTAGCATCTTAACAGTTCATGTTTTTTATGTTGTTTTTATATATTACATTTTATTCTGTACTGTCACTATGCTTCTATGCTGTTTCAATTGCAATTGCAATCATGCATTTATGTATGTATTTATTAAATGTATAAACTGTTCCTATACCTATTATGGTTTTGTTCTTTTGAAATTGATTATTTGCTTGTTTGTCTTTTTGAACTTTTGCTTATTTTTAACTTTTGTTAACCACCCAGAGAACCTCAGCTATTGAGTGGTATTACATTGAAATGAATGAATGAATGAATGAATGAATGAATAAATAAATAAATAAATAAATAACCTGCCATCATGCTACCACATCAAGCCCAAATCACACATTTTCAGTCTACCCAATGTGTTTACTGCAAACTGCTTTTTGGTATTATCACGGATGGTGTTTCCCCATTAAAAACACATATGCTTCTCTTTTCCAGCTGAAGTACTAAAATACCATTTCCTTCACATACCTCAAAGAGCACTTTTCTCCTTAGAACAACAGGGGGGAAAACTGAGCCTGAAGATAATCCACAGGAAAAAGACTTCAATATTCAATTTTTTTCAAGGCAAAGAACAACTGTAAAAGTGGCTCCAAACCCATTACAGCTTAATACCAAAAATACTATGCACCCTTTTTAGGGAGTCTCCTGGATGTAGTATACGACAATAATTTCTAAATGAATGATAGTACCTCTCAGTCTTTCCAGCCTTACAAGATTGTTGCAAGAAGGATGAGAGATCATATACATCCACCCTGAGTTGCTTGAAGAAAGCATGGAAACTTAATAGTAATATCTGTCCCACTTAACATCTATGTAGCTTTAACACCTATGTAGCTTTTAGAATAATTCCCACCACTACCTGGAAGAATTGTTTCTACTATCATTGTATGTACTACCATTAATAGAGCATATATCAACAAAAGGAGAAGGGCTAGCAAAGTGATAATAATACATGTGCCCAAGGATTAAGAAAAGATCTTACATTTGCAGTTATGTTATGGTCAATCCCTAACTTGCCAAAGAACAGTCATGTTCCTGCTTTCACAGCCACTTGCCCATGAGCTAAGGTTTGGAGAGATAATGACACCTGAAAGGCGAGGGCATCCCTGTTACCATTTTCTTTCCAAGCCTTAACCCATTTCTATCCCAAGCACTGCCTCAATCATCTACCATAAGGGAAAATGTTGGAGGTCCCAGTTTTCCACTGATCCTTTCCTGAGACCGTGGAAGCTAATGCCTGACAATGCAGGCCAATGATAGGCACAGTAGTGCCCTCCTATCAGCACAGCCAATGATTAGGTGTTGTCGTCCAAAAAATCTACAATCCGCCAGGTTGCCTATCCCTGATGTCAACAATACCAAGCGAGTTAGTCCGATGGTCTGACTCAGCATAAAGCAGCTTCCTAAGCACTCCCCCTGTCCGCCTCTTGCTCCTTCCTACCCATGCCACCACCTCTTGTCCCGTCTCACATGCCCCTATGTGGACCCTCAACAGTATGCCACTTACTGGGAAGAACAATAGACGAGAAGGCTCCTATCCTTGCGCCCTACTTGCGGGCTTCCAAGAAACACACAGATGACAGCCACTGCAGGAAAGAGACCTTTGGTCTGCTCCAAGAGAACCCTTCTTCTGTCCTTTCCCTGGCACGCGGTTTCCTGCAACAGCGGTACCTCCCTAGGAGCCACTGACCGCCTTCCCTGTCTTCCCTACGGTACGAAAAGGCCTCTACGACCGAGTCCGCCCCTCTCTGCTTCCCTCCCTGCCCCGTTTCCGCGGCTCGATCTTGTCTTCCTCAAACTTCGCAACAGACCCTTTCCCTACGTGTCATAGCTTGCTCACCCGGCTCCCACAACAGCCTCCTAGGCCGCATCAAAACTCAGCGTCGCCGCCTCCTTAGGCCTCTCCAGCTCGGCACCGAGTAGGTTCCAACCGGCACTTCCGGTCCTCGAAAGTGGGGGAAGGGAGCACTCCTTCCCCTTCCGGATGCGACGACCTCGCTTCACGTCACACCTCCCTTGGCTCGTCCCAGGCGGGGATGCGATGCTCTTCCTTTTCTCCATCGGCGGGATTTTTCTGTGTGCGGAGCTAGACTCAGACTTAGCGCGCCGACTGGGTTTACGTCTGAATAAATGAAGAAACCGCCGCCGCCGCTGTAGTTTCCTTTTCCCATCGTAATGGAGACTCGCGCTCTTCTTTGACAGAGCAGTTTACCTCCCCCTCCTCTAAGCCCGCATATATCGAGGTTAATGCTTCCCACCCAGAGTACAGTGTCCATGAAAGCTTATGCCAGAACAGGGGCGCAATCCTTTGTCAGTTTAAACAGAAAAGTTTAAAAGTTTAAACTGCATTCACTGCATAACTTAGCAAACCACGCTGGCTCGGGCACGTTTGGGAATTGTAGGAATTCTTTTCCATCTAAACAGGCATAGGATTGCGCCCTAAAAGCAAAACGTGCTAGAAGATTCTTGCTCGTTTTGCTGCAACAGACCAATATGGCAACTCCTGAAAACTCGCGCCTTTGATTTATGCAGCCCTAAATGTGCGGTGGTGCTTTACGGGCTTACAGGTGGTACAATAGCCGTGAACGGGAGAAAGGACGTGATGCTATGCAGTCTTAGACAGAAAAAAAATCTACAAGTGGCTGGGGCATGCTGGGAGTTATAGGGCTTTCCCCCTTATATAAATATGCATAGGTTCGTGCGTCATAAAGCTGCAGTCCTCTAGATGCTCAGGGGTAATCGCATCTAACTGCACCTGCACAGGGCGGCACTCTCAGTCCCACTGGAACTCGGCGAGTCTTACTTCAGAGTAAACGCGCCTAAGATTGCTTTCTCTGGAAAGCCAAGCGCAGGCACCCCGCCAACCATATCCCGTAAGAGGGGCTTTTCCCCTTTCCAAAAAGGCTCGATTGTCGTGACTCTCGTGACAGATCGCAGGCCCATATTCCACCCTTCGCTTGTTAACCCGCGAATGCACACCAGACCTATTGAAAAACACTGCGTGGGAGGAGGAATAGCAGGACACCTGCTTCTTCGAACAAGGGGATCCGGGGTTCAGGCTCCCCGGGCAAAAAACAAATGCAGAGTTTGCGTATGCTGATTTGCATTCTCTCCCCCCCCCCCCCCGTGCGTGGCCGCGCCTGCCTGCTTTTAAAGCAATTGCCCAAGGACAACTGGGTGGTGGGATAGGGCTCCTTATGCCAGATTCGGAACTGCAACCGGTACGTGCTCCCCAACACCGTCTCTGCTGCGGACTACGTTGAAAGAGTCCTTTTCCCAATAGTTAAATCGGCGCGCGTACAATTTGTCCATTCCTCGGTACAAACAGAGCAAGCTGCAGCCGGCTTCGGGGAAAAAAATGGATATCTACCTGCTCTCCTGTTAATTTGTAAAACTTAGATTGTGGTTTTTTTGTCCCTGCCTGCTCATCCCATTTTTTCGTATAACCCATTCATCAGGAGAAGGCCCCCATTCGGGGCTGATCAAACAGACCCTCCTGACCATAACACCGTCCTTGGGTCAGCTGCCTTCTGGATCGCCTTGCTGTAGTTTACCCTTGGCTTCGCTCCTCACGTTTGCCGTGCAGCACAGGCTCTTGACAGCAAGGGTACGTTGGCCCTCCTCTTTCTCAAAGGCTTTTGATTTATCTTAAAAAAGGTTTGCTGAGGAATTCTGGGGGTTGTAGAATGCTTTTCTTAGGCCGAAACATTTATAGGATCACACCTTAAGACTAAGCATTGCACAAAGTTTATTTATTTAAAGCTTTTACATACCATTCTTTGAGAAAGCTTTCAGAACAGTGTACAATAAGAAAAAAAGAAATTAGTTAATAATTTGGAAAGTCACACACTGCATTACTGGTTGCTTTTATGCATTACCTCCTAACTTGTCAAAGGAGAGGGACTTCTCATTCTGTTACTAGCTGCGCTGCTTTTTCTTTGAGGTAAAGGAGCTGGTATTGTAGGTGGCATAGCGGTTTGTGTTGGACTAGACCATGAAGACCTGCACTCAAGTGCCCCAGAGCCTTGAAGCTTTCTGTGTTACCTTGGACTAGTCTCTAACTCTCAGTCTAACCTCTGGTTCACATGGTTATTGTGAGGGTAATGTGGAGGCAGGAATCCAAAAGGATCTTTCCAGAGTGGGAGCATGGGCACCAAAATGGGAAATTTGCTTCAGTGTGAGGTAAAATTATGCCCGTTGGGCAAAAACTCCCTGCATCCCACTTGACAGAATCTTATCTAGCAGACCAAGTAAGGGATCTTGAAACTTTCATAGATGACTTCATGAAAATGTCAACCAATTGTGTGACTAATGTGAAAATGTTTCTCTATTAAGTATAATTAGGAAAGGAATGGAACTGCCAATATCATAGTGCCCTTATACAAATCTATGGTGCAACCACACTTGCAATACTGTCTACTGGTTCTGGTCACTGCACTTAAAAACAGATACTGTGGAATTGGAAAATGAAGAACTAAGCAATTAAACTGATCAAGAGGCTGGAAAAACCCAGCTAGAAGAAAAAAGGACCATTTAGTTCAGAGTAAAGGTAAGCATGGGAGACATGATAGCAGACATTTGGCTCCCTCTCATAATATTAGTACTAAGGGTCATCCCATGAAGCTGACTAGTGGGAAATTCAGGACAGATAAGAGGAAGTACTTCTTCACACAACACATAGTTAAGCTATAGAATTTGCTATTATAGGATGTAGTGAAGACCACCAATCAGATTGGATTACAAGAGGATTCATGGAGAATAAGGCTATCAAAGGTACTAGTGTGATAGCTATATGTTACTCTAATACCAAAGGCACCACATATATCAGTTACTGGGGAACATGACAGTGAGGGTGATATTGCACTAATTTCCTACTTGCGTGTTTCCCACTGGCATGCTTTCCATGTAAACAGAAGATTGGACTAGCTGAACTTTTGGTCTAATCCAGCATGGCTCTTCTGTTCTTCATAGCACATGACATGTGCAACTTTGAGCTCCTTGTAAGGTAAAGGTAAAAGTTTCCCCTTGACGTTAAGTCCAGTCATGTCTGACTCTAGGGGGTGGTGCTCATCTCCCCAGCATTTGTCTGCAGACAGTCTCTGTGGTCATGTGGCCAGCATAACTAAACACCAAAGTGCACAGAATGCTGTTACCTTCCCGCCGAAGTGGTACCTTTTTATCTACTTGCATTTGCATGTTTTCGAACTGCAAGGTTGGCGGGAGCTGGGACGGAGCAACGAGAACTCACCCTGTTGTGCAGATTCAAACCGGCAACCTTTCGATCAACCAGCCCAGCAGCGCAGCAGTTTAAACCACTGTGGCCACCTGCATCCCTGAGTTCCTTGACAGAAGTATAAATGTAATAAAGATATAAAAGGAGGGTTTTTCCATTCTTTGAAGAACAAATTTTAAATCTGGAGTGGTGATTCTAAACCCCATTGAAAACTCTTGAAGAAAATTGATGTTAATTAAACTAAAGCACCATATTACATAGAGTTATTAAGAACAACTCCAGAGGCATAATTTGACTCACACACACACAGACACACACACTGGTATCACAGTGTGACCAGAATGACTGTTTGAATAAAAATGTGATTAGACTAGTCTTGTGGGGAACTTACCAAGTCACCACAGTAAACAAGGAATTCCATTCAGGACAATGAGAAGCCTGATGGCAAAGGATGAATATTTGTGCCCCTCTTTTACCAGCCCCTTTGGTTTCTGTGCTAGTCACAAGGGAAATCACTCTCCCTTTCTTTGCCACCTGTGAGAAAATGCAACTGGATGGTAGAGGAGGGACAAAGCCATCTTTCTTTACTAGTCAGCTTAGTAGAAGGCAAGATTTTCAATACCCTGTTAATAGGCTAGCTGCCTATGTTTTCACGGTCCCCATGGATGAAAGGGAAGCCATTTCTTCATGGCCAATATGGAAACACAGGATATTGGCCACTTGGTGAGCAAGTAATAAATTTGCAGACTAGCAATTCTTGGGAGCCTAATTACAAGGCAATACAGTAAAACCTTGGATTGTGAGCATAAGTCGTTCCAGAAAGATGCTTGTAATCCAAAGCACTTGTATATCAAAGTGAATTTTCCCATAAGGTTCAATGTAAATAAGGTTAATCAGTTCTGTAACTTTTTTTTAATCGCAAAAATTTGAAGCGGGCGCGCTCACAGGCACGCTGAAGGGGAGATGGGTGCAATTGCGAGAGCGCTTGGGGAGGCGGGCGGGAGACGGGTGCAATCGCAGGCGCACTGGGGGGGCGGGCAGGCGTGATCGCGGGTGCGCTGGGGGGAGACGATGCTGTACTCGCACCCACAGTGAGAGAATTGGTGCTCAGTTGTGACATGATGCTCGGCAGGCAAAGCACACATGATAACTCGTACTGCAAGGCATTGCTCGTTTAATAAGTTAAAATTTAGAAAAATGTTTTGCTTGTCTTGCAAAACACTCACAGACCAAGTTACTCATAATCCAAGGTTTTACTGTATTAAAGTTTTGGTTAAAGCAGACTTTTCTAATTCTAGACTAGCTGAACTATGAAAGTATTCACAGCTTTTATTTTCAGTATCAGTAGGCTTTTTATTGGTGAGATCACACAGGAAAGATGAGAAATAGTGGATTTGTTACCTCCCACAGGATAACTCAGAGATCTGATTCACATGACATGATTTCTGTATAGATTAATCTCATGTCTGATTTCTCTGATCAGATGCATGTTCAAATATGTCATGAGAATGGCTCTTGGTTGATAAATTATTTGGTAGTTGACAAGCAAAGAAATGCAACACACTGTCCAGAGGTCCAGT